CATTTGGTCATGGGCACATGCCATGGGAGGATATGAGACCATTGTGTACGGGTTGCACCGTGGAGTGTGAGCGTTAGACGCGGAGAGTAGAGATGCTTTTGTGGGAGTATAGATAGGTGAACGGTGCCACGAATAGCGCAAGGGGTTATGCCTAAACGGCCATGAATGAGGCTATCGTGTCCAGGAAGAGGATGAATGCTGATAGACAAAGGGGCCATGCAGCGACTACAGTATTGACTATCGTTGTTGTTATTGCCGTAGTCGTCGTTCTCGTCGGGTACCGTACGGAAACACTCGCCAAAGTTTATAAAAACAAAAAGAAATTGTAATGAGGAATCTGTCAAGAAATGGAGAGGAGGTTTTGTTTTTCTTGAACCCATCCCATAGAACACTTCTCCCGCCCGCCTTCACAGCCACCTTACGAAAGCCGCGTGTCCTTGCAAATGTATCACACAATCCAGAAGTGTGACATTTCACACTTCACACTGTTTGGCGGGTTTTGGTTCTTGGCAACGAAGAGGAGGACTGGAAGGAATGGAAGGGTTTGTTTATACGAATGAAGTTGGCATTTCAAAGAATTGGGACTTGCCAAAAAGGCATTTAATCATCAGGAGCACAACTGACAGGATGCGGTAAACAAATGCTAGGGATGTTTTGTTGAAAGCTCAGCCTTATTGTACATTGAACCCTTACAATCTGTTCTCGAGCTTCTTACCAATGGTATGTCATAAGTATTACGATGAGCTTCCTTGCATTAGCCAAATGTTCCATGATAGCTTTGCACCCAGTGAGTACCTGATTATGACAGTGAAAACTTAAGGTGGGGAGCAAACAAAATGCTGAAGCGATGATTGAAATTTTTGATAAACTATGACAGCAGCAATGGAATAGCAGTGGAATACTTTACATTTAGTCTGACGTTTTGTAATAGTTTTCCTTGTCATAAAGGTGTTGCTCATTCCGATGTGCACTCACCAAGATTGCGACTGATAGCATTGCACTGTGTCACTTTAACTCTTTTACGCTGCTACACTAGAATTTAACAAAATCCCACATTACAGCCAAAAAAAGGTAACAGCCATAGGATAAGTCAGCTGGTATGCACATACATTACTCTAAACCTAAATTCATATTCGCTTGTTTCAAAAGATGCAGGGACGCAGCTCCCAGAGTAGAAGGCTTCATTCTATTCACATACAACCAAGGATGTGAGATGCAAAAGTACGGCATTCGACAAGCAATTAAAAAACTCACCTCGACAATAAAAAGGAGATAACTTCTTGCTGATGTAACATTACCGCCATATCCAATGGCAAGATTGTTTCCAAGGGGGGGGCTGCCTGTCCAGTAGACTTTCTCCTACTCAGCCGCCGCTGAGCTGGCAGGGGTGATGACGGTAGTGGTGCCGAAGATGACAAGGCAGTGGATGGTAATTCCAGCCCACTCGGGGTCGATTTCGGCTGAGCATTTCGAAGGCGGACGAGAAGTCTGTAATCGGCAATGTTGAGTCCCTTTCGGGGATTCGCGCCATATTCGAGCAGCATGCGAACCATCGAAACCTGACCCCTGCAGCAGGCAATGTGGAGGGCCGTCAAACCGTACCAGGACTGGTTCACTTTGACGCGATGATTCTGCGGCGGATCGTTCAGCAAAGAGAATTCCCAAAAAAAAAATGCGGCAAGCGTCCCACCTGAATCATTCTAAACACCATAGTATGCAGTCCCAAACCCAATGCCAGCATAAAATATGACGGTGCATGAAAACTCTTACACCGCGCCGAAAACACGGGTGCATTCACGTCTGGAGGGTACCCCTTATCCAGCATGAGCATACAAACAGGTTCCATGCCATTCACCATGGCTAGTAGGAAAATTTTTTCTGTCTCTGCTGCCCAGGTTTTGTGGAGCATGTTGGGGGAGATTTCGTCGAGGAGGGAGCAGGCTTGGGACATGCGATGATCGTGTACAGCAATGTTAAGGAGGTGAAATGTGGCTGTTTTCAGGTATAAATAAGAGTGAGTGGCAGCAGCTATAGATAAGTGGAATCAGAGCTGATTCATACTATGCTGAGATCGTTTCCGTTTTTTAGGTTTTAAGAGCTTTGACAGGACACCCTTTTTAGGGTCTGATCGATCTAAGAAAAAGGACAGCACAGTCAAAATCTTGCAATGAATGAACAACCACAAACAGCAAACAACAAGTTCCAAACCTTTTTTATGCTTCTCCCACAAATTCCCTTTTGACTTTGTGCCTTTTTCTAACATTGGCGTCGGAGCCCTTTGTCGCTTCTCCAACGCCATCAAAATACGTCTCTGGTGCTTAGCGCGCACATCCCCTTGCCGAAAATCTGCCAGAGACACGACCTCGTTTGCCGACTTTGTCGGAGACCGTGACCTGCTCATACTCCCCCACGTTGACGGTCCACTTGCACTCCTCTTGAGCTGGTACAATTGTGACCCATTCGGTATGATAAGTGAGGATGGACGTAATTTGGGCGACTCCGCCTTGGACGCTGGCAAACTCTTTGGTGACGTTGGTGCCGACTGGTTGATTGGCAGCGGGGGAGGAGGAGAGGACATGGACCGGAGGCGTTGAGCGAATCCCTTTTTGAGTTGCTTTCGTAGCGCCAGCTTCCCGCCATTGTCCGAGTTTGCGGCCATGCTGCTGGAAAACTACTGCAAAGTCGGCCCTTTGAAATGGGGGATGCCCAACACCCACGGATTTTGCGTTGCCTGCTGTGCGTGCGCTGCCCTTGTAGACGATTCCAACTGACTTGAAAGAATAGAATCCGTAAAAACCCTCACCCTCATAACACCCCATTTTTGCTTACGTCATTATCGCGCACACGTGATCTATGCCACAAGTTCTTGCCAAGTTGCCAAGTCTTTGCTTGTTGTTGGACGATGGAAGGCAAGATCTCGTCGTTGCCAAATGAATTGCAGTACAGGATCCTTTCCTTCCTCTCCCTCTCTAGCCAAGAGCAGCCGAAAGCGTGTCCTTTTGTTGTGCCATCTTCAGGCTCCATAAAGATCCCTGATCTACCTGTACACGTCAACGTCCAAGATGCCCTCAAGAGCCTAGCCAAACATGGTTTCTACCTTGTCGATAATGTGTTTGAGCCAGCCCTAGCAGAGAATGTCCTTCAGAGTCTCGTGAAGCTTGAAGCCAAGGGAGAGTTGCGAGAAGCCGGCATGGGCACGGGTATAACACGGTAAGCTACGGTAGTTTTATCTCTTTGCTATTGCGGCAACGTTTTTCTGACTCGCGGGCGTTTGATTAGACACCACGACGCTTCTAATCGCGGAGACAAGACTCGATATTTTTTGAATAGCGAGCTTACTGGCGGTGTGGACAGTACTACGGTGCTCCCGGCACTTCAAACCCTCAAAGCCCATCTTGACTCGCTGACTGCACACATCAATTCCCGCCTATTCCCCGCCCCATCCGACAACCATCAACTATGTCCAAAAGGGCTCCAGGTGGCGTATTATACATCAAATGGGGCACGCTACGTCAAGCACCGCGATGCATCTCCGTTGAATCCGTACCGCAGATTGACGATCTTGACATACTGGAACAAAGATTGGACGTCGGACCATGGCGGGTGTTTACGCATCTACCTATCTGATGGAACGACAGTAGATGTAGAGCCACGATGGAATCGTATGCTTATTTTCAGAAGCGAATTGGAACATGAGGTTTTGCCGTCCTTTGGGGACCGGTTTGCCATTACCATGTGGCTGTATTCTGAGAAAGATATTACGGCGTTGCTCTCGAAACTTTTTTTCAATGGGCCTCCATCACCCCTATTACTAGCAGATCCCAGCAAAGACTCTACCATCTTTATATCCATTCCCTCTTACCGTGATTCCGAGACACACTCTACCGTCACCTCTCTCCTCCAAACTGCGGCCTACCCACACCGCCTCCATATCACCATCCTGTACCAAGATCACCCAATCCAAGACAAAAACCTCCACCCTCCCCTCCCCTCCCATCCTACCATCATCACCCTTTGCATTCCAAGCAAGCAAGCCAAAGGACCGGCCTACGCCCGCGCACTCATTGCCAAAACATTTGAAAACCAAGACTACATACTCCAAATCGATAGTCACATGCGGTTTGGCGAGGGATGGGACACGTACTTGATTCAATTACTTGAAGGTGTACGTAAGGGGCAAGGTCAACATCTTATTACAATGTACCCACCCAACTATGATCCCCTTACGGGAGCAAAGGATCCAGAACCATTTGGACCTGTTATGATGTACCCAACGGGATTTGACCAGGATGGCATGTTGAGAATCAGTGGAAGGATGGTACCGCCTACAAATGAATTAGTTCCACAACGACTTGTTGCGTCGGGATTCTTGTTTGCGCCTGGGACACTTTACGTATCCTGTCCGCCGGATCCAAACTATCCGTATCTGTTCTTTGGCGAGGAAATTGTTCTCAGTGCCCGGTTATGGACTCGTGGATGGGATTTTTGGACGCCTGGGGATGGAAAGAGGGGTATCGTGTGGCATGCGTGGAAGAGAGGTTATCGGAAGACGTTTTGGGAGAATGGGAATGTAAGGGGTCGAGAGGAGGCTCAAAAGAGGGTACGAGTGCTCTTGGGAATGGAGGAGGCGGACATGGAGTTTGATCAGGAGATGGGATTAGGTCGTGTTAGAGGGTTGAAGGAGTTTGAGGCGTTTGTGGGAGTTTGCTTCAAGGAGCGGACCGTTGAGCCCTTTAGCTTTTCCAACTGTCTAATTGCTGAATAACCTGTGACAGAACTCGGCCTTCTACTCTACAAGGTTTCGCCATCACAATAAACATAAAAAACCACGCGGATCCCAAAATTGTCATACATCCATCCCAACCAATTCGCTCCCTAAAACCCATCCTCGGCTGCAGGCTTTTGAGATGGATAGGACCCCAACACCCTGATATCCAGACAGAACTCTTTCAATCCCTCCAGCGCCAAACGAACCCCCTCGTTCTCAACATGTCCATCAAGCTCGATAAAGAAATAATAATGCCTATGAAACAAACTAGAGTTAAATCTGCCTGGATAGTTGGCATTAGGAGAAAGTAACCTACCATGGGCGCTGTCCAGATGGTCTTGAATCAATCTTTGTCAGGTTGATTCCATACTTTTTGAGGACACTTAGGGCGTCGCAGAGGGCACCGGGTTGGCGGTGATCAACGGTGAAGAAGAGGAGGGTGCGGTCATTGCCGCTTGGGTTGTCGGATGCATTGCCGATGATAAAGAATCGGGTGGTATTATCTAGGATTACGAACTTTAGAGTGGCCAAGGGTTATCAAAATGGGATGGGCACAGAGGGGGTACCTTTGGCATCTTCAATATTGTGTGCCAGGATATCAAGACCATACAGACTGGCGCATAGGCTGCTGCAAATAGCGGCCGCACCAGGTTCTCGTGCGGCAAGTTCAGCTGCATGAGCCGTGGACGAGACGTTGATGCGTTCCACGCCGCGGAGGTGTTGAGAAAGGTAGGCTTGACATTGTCCAAACCCCTATCATCCAGTCCCAAATGAGACGCCATGTACCAGAATCTGACCGCACACGACAGCTCACCTGCGGATGACTATACACTTTACGCACTTGAGCCCGTCCCGTTCCACTATTCACTAACAACGCATGATGAACTCCCAAGTAATGCTCAGCCCGAATCTTGACTCCCCCAACCGACTTTGCAAACCGATCCAAAGTGGCTTGAACAGATCCAAATGTTGAATTCTCAAACGGGACGACACCGTACGTGGCTGCTCCACTCTCTACTGCATCAAAGACGTCGGCAATGGTTTCTTGTGCGGCGTATTGGACGCTGTCGCCGAATCGTTCGCATGCGACTTGGTGGGTGTATGTACCGCGGGGACCGAGGAATGCAATGGTTATCTCTCGTTGAAGGGAAATACTGGCTGACATGATTTCGCGAAATATGGACTGGATGGCGGGGGTGGGGAGGGGACCATGATTGAGGGTTTCTAGCTTTTGAGTGGATTGGGGTGAGGTTATGTTCGGCTCTCCTTGATATACGCATCCCAGGTGGTATACTCACCCTATCATAAATCTGTATTTCTCGACTCGGACGATGAATATGCTCATCCCTATTCCAGTAAAAAAGAAGGCTCGTAAAGACGGAGATACGTTGCTGATAAACAAGAAAAAGATGTCCAAAAACTTACGCTGCACGACCTGTTTTGGCCTCCTTGGACTTTGCCAACCCGATATTCACACTCACGCTCGCCCGCTCATTCAAGAGTCGCACGATATCGGCGTCAAGGCCATCAATCCGGTGTCGTAGACGCTGCAAGTCGGAAGACGGTGGTTGCTCCGACATTGTCAAAAACCGCTACCTTGTCAAAAACTAAACTGCAAGCAAGCGCCCATCTAAACCTCAACCATCTTATCATGACTCACATACAGCACCATGGCAACAAGCACATCACGTGACACAACCATGACACAGTCTGGCCTTTGCATCCAAACACGACGAGGTAGACACGTAAAGCTCATCCCGATCGCCCCGCGACCAATTACAAACGGGAACATTTTTGACGCTTGTACAAGGAAACTAGCAAGAAACGATGCCATCTGCTACGACAAGCCCCGAGTCTGTGATTGTCCACCCCCTCGTCCTCCTGTCCGTTGTAGACCATTACAACCGAACAGCGCGTAATACCAAGAAGCGCGTGGTGGGGGTTTTGTTGGGACAAAATGTTGGGAGTAAAGTAAATGTGGCGAATAGTTATGCTGGTATGTTTGAGTTTTGTGAAATAAGGGTTCCTGTGTTGTATTCATTGGTGTCTAGTTCCGTTTGAGGAGGACGATAAAGACCCTTCGATTTGGTTTTTGGACCATAATTACCATGAAGCCATGTACGACATGTTCAAAAAAGTCAATGGTAAAAGATGCGATTCCGATAACATACCTGCGGGGAGACGTTGTTCCCAAAACCATACTGATTGTTTTCTAAACTTTCACACACACATAGCAAAGGAAAAGATTGTAGGATGGTATCACAGCGGTCCCAAACTCCGCGCATCAGATTTGGAGATCAATGAGCTTTTCAAGCGGTATATTCCAAACCCTGTGCTTGTCATTATTGACGTTAAGCCCAAGGATTTGGGAATACCTACCGATGCATATTATGCCGTAGAAGAGATTCACGATGTAAGTAGAGTAACAAAAGTACGAGTACCTAGAACATTGCTCTTTAACTTGTTGGGGATTTCAGGATGGAACCGCCACAACAAAAACATTCAATCACATCCCCTCCCAAATCGAAGCTGAAGAAGCCGAAGAAATTGGCGTAGAGCATCTCCTTCGTGATATCAAGGACACATCGGTCGGCACGCTTTCCACTCAAATCACCAATCAACTTAATTCCCTGAAAGGCCTGCAAAACCATTTATCGGATATTCAAAATTATTTGACAAAAGTCCTATCGGGGTCGTTACCCGTCAATCATCAAATTGTCTATAACCTCCAGGATATCTTTAACCTCCTCCCCAACCTCCAGGTTCAAGAAACCGTCAAATCCTTTGCAGTCAAGACCAATGATGAATTGTTGGTCATGTATCTGTCGAGTTTGATTCGGGCAGTGATTGCTTTGCATGGGTTGATTGAAAATAAGTTGATGTTGAGGGATGCGGAGCGGAAGGAGGAGGGTGGGGGTGAGCCAGAAAAGAAGGATGTGGTGGAGAAAAAGGAGGGGGATAAGACAGAGGAAAAGACAGAAGAAAAGAAATAGTTGCCTTTCAAAATATAGGGTTTGTGTTCTGCGTGTTGATTTTTGCAACCATTACATAAGTCGCTAGGATATCACCAGCCGACCCTCTTTTAGCAAAAAAACAACACCCTCATGGCTATATACACTCCATTCATTATACATTGCTACCGCCCGTCCGTCATCTCGGCTCCAACCCAGCCTCGGCATACCCTTTTAGCATCCTATCAGCATCCAATTTATCTTCCTGCAACACCTCTGTCAAAACCGATAGTCCCTTTTGATGACCCGCCAACGTCTACAAAAAAATCCCAACAAATGAGTAAACACCAGTTTAAATCTAAAATTATCCATTCCACATACCTCAAACATCAACTTGAGCTGCTCCTCATCCGCAATCTGATACCCCTCACTCACACCCCCCGTCATCGAAAACTGTTTTGAGCTCTTTGTTTGCTGCATAAACGCCCAAATCTCATTCAACCTCCCTCGAAAGACGGATGGTTTTTGAAGATCGCGTTGCATGGCTTCGAGACGGGATTTGAAGCGTTCTTCTTCGGCGCGGATTGAGTAGCCGCGGTTACGGATCAGTTGGACTTGTTTCAATAGCTTTTGGTAGTGTGTTAGTGATTGCAAGTTTTTGTTGTTTGGAAAGCAGACGGAAGGCGGGACTTACTTGTAGGACTTTGGCGACAAGGACGGCTTGTTTGCGTTTATATTCCTCTAGTTTGGGGAGTGTGTCTAGGTAATGTTTTCGTTGGAGGGTTTCTACTTGGGTTTTGATTTCCTGGTACAAAAAACCATTACAGATGCGAGGCGTGATACGCGAAACATGAATTTTTCGTTTTTTACCTCGAGTTTGGATTTATGCGCTTGGTAGGCTTGATCTTGCTGTGCGATTCGCTTTTTAATGTCTCCAAAGCCGACAGCGAGTACAGGAACCATACTGACAATGAACGTGTCAAAATAAAAGTTGTCCTTGTGATTTTTTTTAGGGACATACCATTTTGAATCTGGGTTGTCGCGTTGGGCTTGCTCATATAATGACAAGTCCGTTCCTTGTGGTGGTCCATAGCGCTGGATTTCAGATGGATGTACAATATTGTAAAAGTAATGCTTTTTATAAAAAGGTTGTGTGAGTCCTCCATTTCATAAACAGATATCACGGACTATATGGGATCTCACCTTGAATTGACATCGTGGGTCCCGGTCATCCCACGCTGCAGCAGATGCCTGTATTTGAGCAGCAATCGCCATGGCAAGTTGTTGCGACCCTGCAGTTGTAGATAAGTCAAGATTTGTCGCTCGTATTTCTTAAACACTCATCTTTACTCACCTTGTTGGGTAACGCCAATGGCTTGTGGCTGTTGTGTCGTGAGACCTCCTAACCCACCCCCAAATCCCACCTGTGGTTGCGATGCACCCAAGGTCGATAGTTGTTGCTGAGGTTGACCGAATCCACCAAATCCCAATGAACTCGGTTGTTGTGCTTGTGTCGTCGTCGTGGTTCCGAATCCGCCAAATCCAGCAAAAGTGGGTTGTTGTTGTGGTTGGGAGGTACCGCCAAAGCCGCCAAACCCTGTTGATGCCGTCTGTTGTGGTTGGGATGTTCCAAATCCACCAAATCCTGTTGATGCCGTCTGTTGTGGCTGGGAAGTTCCAAACCCACCAAAGCCCGTAGACGCCGTCTGTTGCGGCTGAGACGTCCCGAACCCACCAAATCCCGTCGTACTAGCCCCTGCAGCTGGCTGAGAAGTTCCAAATCCACCAAACCCCGTAGACGCCGTCTGTTGCGGCTGAGAAGTCCCAAACCCACCAAACCCAGTCGTGGCCTGCTGCTGCTGCGGCTGTTGCAAAGACCCGCTCGGTGTACCAAATCCGCTAAACCCCGATGCTCCCTGTTGGGCAGCACCGAATCCGCCTGGTGTCGTACCATACGCTGGTGGTAACTCGCCTGGTTTCTGTTGGGCTGGATGTAATGTGTCAGACATGTGGATGAGAGGACATTTTATCGCGTTTGAACGTGTACTTACAAAAAAAGGACATTGTCGGGTCGTGGAGATGAGGTTACGGATGAACAGTTTAGATAATAATGTAATGTCCGCAAAGTGTGATCATCATCTCCGTCAACAAGTAATTAATGCAGAATCTACGCTTGCAATGCAACCACCTCGACACCATCACGTGCACAGTTGCCACAGCAACAACACTTCTTTTTGTTGTGCATCGAGCGAGATTCGAACCCTTGGTAGCAAGTTCTTGACAACTGCGACAAGCGGCCTTGTTTGAACGAAGTGGGTGTCATTTGGAGCGCTGGACCTTTTTTTTTTTTGTTTTTGGTGACAAAGCTACTGCACAGCCACTCCGCTCTCGGGACTTGCAAAGGGTGATTGAGCAAAGGAAGATATTTGAGGTATGTGCGTTGTGTGTTGTGTGTGTGGGGTATACCCCTCTTTTCACGCTACATAGCTGACAGTGTGTAATTTTCTTGTCAAGAGAGCGGTGTACCGTCCTTTCTGACAGGACATTAGCACCGCAACAGTATAAACAACCATGGCTCCAAGACGATTTTGTTCCACATGTAACCGGCACACCGAGGTCGAGCACGATGATGCCATGGGGCATGTCGTTTGTACCGGATGCGGTGGAGTACGTAGCTATTCATACAAGAGCATATTTCCGGCGATAGTTCATGTTTTTTCTTGTTAGGTTATGGAAGAAAATGCTATTGTGGCTGAAGTTTCGTTTATGGAGAATGCAAAGGGGGCGGCGATTGCTGAGGGGTTTAGTATGGGGAAAGATAAAGGTATGATGTGTTGTTTTGTTCAGTTTTGGTAGGATGCATGATGACGGTTTTTGTAATGGATTTGTAGCGAGGGTGTCTCGTACGGCGCAAGGAAAAGGGGGCAAGTCCATGTTGGGCGGACAGGAATCGCGAGAAACCACCATCCAAAACGGTATGTCCAGTATAACCCATAACGTTCATAAAAAAAGGTGTTCATCTATAACAATCCCAATCGTGTAGGCCATAGACGTATCCAAGATATCGCCTACCAATCCCAAATCCAAATGAACGCCCGCCAAATCGAATCCGCGCAACGATGGTTCAACCTTGCTGTTATTAACAACTTTACCAAAGGTCGGAAATTGAATAATGTTGCTGCGGCGTGTTTGTATGTTGTTTGTCGAATGGATAAGACGGCGCACATGTTGATTGATTTTTCGGATGCCTTGTCGGTGCGTCTTCACGTTGACTATTTTTTTTTTTGGAAAGTACAGTAAAAACTAAACGTTTGATATGATAGACAAACGTGTACCAACTCGGCGCAACATTCCTCAAACTCGTCCAACTCTTACACCTCAACCTCCCCCTCGTCGACCCCGCCCTCTACATATCCCGCTTTGCAGCCCGACTCGAATTCGAAGACAAGACGCCCCTCGTAATCAAGGATGCGAATCGCCTTGTACAGCGCATGAATCGGGATTGGATACAGGCTGGGCGGCGACCGGCTGGGATTTGTGCTGCGTGTATGTATGTTTTTTTTATTGGTTTGGGTATATTTTTTTTGGGATGTGGTTAAAAATTGATTGTTTATAGGTTTGTTTATTGCGGCGAGGATGAATGGGTTTAAACGAACACACCGTGAAATTGTTATTGTGGTTAAAATCTGTGAAGCGACGCTTCGAAAACGGTAAATTCATTTGTCATATCGACAAAACAGTCCTTCATTCCTCATCACTACACTCTAGATTAAAAGAATTTCAATCGACACCCTCGGCCAACCTCTCTGTCGAACAATTCCAAACGATATGGCTCCCAGATGAATCCAATCCCCCTGCTTTTGGGACAAAACGTAAACTTGATGAAGCAGAAGATGATGATACAGTTGATGCTGCAGGTGAACCCGATCAAGAAGAGTTGGACATGTTGAATGAGATTCGGGATATTTTGGCGAGACCTGATACGCAAGATCTCGTCCGGTCCGAAAATGGTAAATCTACAAGTATGTCATGTTAAAAGCCTGTACTCGAGTTGAATTGATTATTTTGTAGTGGATCCCATGGAAAATGAACCTAGTCTCTCCGACCTGGACAATGACCCCGAAATCGTCAACATCCTCGGTGTAACACAAGAAGAAGTTGAATTAAAAGAAATGATTTGGATGGAAGAAAACCAGGATTGGATACTCAAGCAACAACGTGTGTATTCACGCCCATTCATCATCGCAGTCATGTTTATTGACTTTATATGTTAGTAAAAGAACAAACCAAAACAACCACCACCAAAAAACAACGAAAACCCCGACACCGTAAACCCAAACAAGCCCTCCCACCCGCCCAATCCCCGGCCGAAGCCACCAAAAACCTCTTGAATACCAAACCCCGCGCCTCCAAAAAAATTAATTACGATGTCATTGAGTCGTTGTTTGATGTGGATGATGATGAGATTCGGAAACGGGTTGCTAGTGTCAGTGGGAAGGGGTACTCTGGGATGAGTGTTACCGGGTTTGGAAGGGGTGGTGATGAGGATGTTGGTGATGGTGAGGAGGCTGGAGAGGAGGAGGGTGGGTAATGTGTCGAATCGTTGCTAGCCCCTGCCAGGGTGGGGTATGAGTGTTACGAGAGGGCTGTTGAGGACGAGTGGGTAATGTGTGTTTGGGTATGTATAGGTGACGATAGGAAAGGGAGTTGGCAACTTGTATATAAACCGTCTTTCACATATTTTTTTGTTCGCAATAACAAAAAAAGGCACTGCACTACATACCAAAATATCCATTATAAAAGAAAACCGCCCAATAAACCAAGTCTCTTAAATACACACACATACACACACAAAAAAACATTTAAGCATGCTGCAAATCCCAACTCGACAACCACTTTCGACTCTGCAAACTCGGCACACTCTCAAACCCAATTCCATATGTCAATGGTGCAAAATACCAGTAGCCCCACGCAGCACCCACCACAATCAAACTGGTCAACATGACATAGGTTCGAGACGGGCGGAGAACCGACTTTTTCCGTTGAGACAAGGACCATACACGCACAAAACAAAATTCAAGTGTACACACGAGAACCAAGACGGAAAAAATAAAACTAGGGAGGTAGTGATGCAAAAAGAGCATGCGGCCCATTAGGAAAAAGGGGAGGTAATGCGTCAACCAGGTCACAAATAGGAATCCAATGGCGTTATCCCACCACGTTCGAATGGGTCCGAAATCGTCAATACCCCGTCGGAGGAGGATGCGATCCATGATCCACATGGCGGCGTACATGACGGTTCCTGTAATCGAGAGCCACCAAATGAGGGGGTTGCCCAGAAGGTATATTTGGCGGAGACCGGCTTTGCGTTCCCAGAAACTGATGCCGCGGAGGACAAAGGGCCATGTTATTGGGGTGGAGGAATACGGGTGGGGTTTGGTCAGTCCGGCGTTGTGGGCAAACATGAGGGATTGGAGCTCGACGAATTTGGAGAGGAAGGGGAGGGTGGGTTTTTGCGGTTGGGTTTTGGGGTCAATGATGGGTTCGCCGATTTCGGTGCCGTTGATGATGCGGGCGTGCTCGACTTGGTCTATCCACCAGACATTGTTGGCTTCCTTGAGGGCCTTGTTGCCATTGACTTCTTGCTGGCCGAATCCCCAGTCGGGGAGTTGGCCCTTGTGACAGTGGACGGCGACATTGTGGATAGCGTTCACGAGACGAAAGTGGGCGCGTTTGGACCAGAGTTTGTCTGAGCTGTCGTCGGCAACCAGTTGGATCTTCCACAGAGTTTCATTGTACCGGTTCGTGTCGTTGGCAGGGATGGTAGTCATTTCCATGTGGGTGGGTGTCAAGGGACTAGCAACGTCGTGGGTGATGAGATGGCTGTTGGTGCGGGCATGCCTGAGGCGAACGAGATCATTGGGGCGGACGTAGCGGACGTTGCGCTCGGTTTCTTGGTCTGTGGGGGTATACGGGGCGGCAGAAGGGTACAGTGCGGGGTCAACGGGTTCAATGGTCCAGTGATTGTTGAGGTCGCGGTGAGGGTACCCAGTGACTTGCTGGCCTTGCGTGCTGATGCGGCCGTCATCATAGCGGAGCGGGTACTTTTCGGGGTGGGAATGAAGGTAGGCCGTCGTCTCGCGGTGCCGGATGGTAATGTTTGAAAAGAACGGAATGGCTAAATGAGGGGAACCCCAATCATGCATGAGGAATGGGAGAGTGAACACATGCAATAAAAACAATGCTTACCACTCGAGTTGGTATTCATTTCACTTCCTAAAAGGCCATCCTGGAACGCAGGGCTCATAAAGGCATCGCCTGGCCCACTCTTGACCAGAATCGCAAAATGAACATAAAAGAATGCAAGGTAGACCACGAGTGGGAGAAAGATTAAGCAGAGTGCACGGGCGGAAAAGTGCCGTGCAAATTCGCGCAAGGACAAGCCGCGACGGTAGTCGAGGAGATTCCAGAGGTCAAACAAGACGGCGATTCCGACGGCGGCGACTGTAAACAGCCCAACCATTTTGACTCTATCCATCATCGGGTAAGCAATCTCGCGTTCAAGTGTATTTAAAATGTCTTGGCAAGACTTACCCTGTCGTGCAGGCCAATGCAATTCCGGTCATGGACAGCCAAAAGTACCATTCAAAGGAAAAGGGTCTATAAAAGAGGTTTTGTGAGCAAAAGTGTCCCAATCATTGTCCTCGTGTTTTGTACTCACACATGACGCTTTTTATAAAACCGAATCCAGGCGTAAATGGAACACACGCAGAAAAGGGTGAGCATCGAGTCCAAGAGAATGAGTCGCGATTGTGTAATCAACGAGTTGTCTGGTGAAAAAGTAAAAACATGAGCAACATGCATAACCTCATGAACCGTCCTTTCTGTCCATCGAGACTTGGTGCTCAATCCTCAACGGACACTCACCCAAGATGATGAGAAAGGCGCCAAACGTCGCACCAGCGACACTCAGACCCAGCTCTTTGAGAATCAAAAAGACGACAGGGACAATCAATGCTCCACAGGTAGCAGGCAACAACCTCAAGGCGACATAGGGAACACCATGCTCTATATAGTCATCCCCAATGTGATCGAATAAAAAGTGGCCATCGTAACCGACTGCATAGCCTACTGCAGCGAGCAAGAGTTTTCCGAGGGGCGGATGCACGTCAAAGTAGTATTCACGACGGAGGTAATACGAAGCGAATTTTCCAAAGTGCACTTCATCGAATCTACAACGAAAAGAGAGGGAAGAGAGTCGGCATACTCGGATTGCATTGAAAGACGCGTTGACAGCAAGACCGAGGGAGCGAGAGAGAGAGAGAGAGCGCGCGCGCGTAAGACCAGAGGTGGAATTCCAAAAGACGAATGCTCAACAAGCGTGCATTGCAGACAGTCCTTGTCTCTCACGCGGACCTTCTCCCTCTCTTCTCGACTTTACTCTTGCAGGATAAACTTACACAACTTGAGCGGGATCACCGATATTCCAGCAGCGGGTAAAGAATGCCATGAACGTCACGAGCAAGAGCATGGCGTCAAAGCCGCGTTGGGGATTGTAAGGAGGACGCTGTTGCTTTTTAGTGTCTTGCTCATCCTGATCCTCATCATCTTGTTGTGGTGGTGGTGGTGTTGTGGAGGTGTCGAGAGACGTGTCTGTCGAGTGTCCCTTGCGGTGCCTGAGAGTAGAGAGTGTAGAGGATGGTGAAATGGTGTCGTCCTCCATAACGATAAAGACAAACAAGAATGAACAAGTATAATATAAACGGTTGGCAACACACACAAGCGGGATCGTGTGTGTGTGTGGGGAGGCGTGGTTGTTGGCATGGCAATAAGAAGTGTGAGAGTGTGAAATACTAGTAATAGTAAGAGTAAATACTAGGAATACACAACACATATATGAATGAAATATTCTCAAAGGGGGAATCAGTTGTTATTAGCAAGTCTCTTGTGTGTGTGTGAGAGAGAGAGAGAGAGAGAGAGTAGGAATTACATTCAATTATAGAAATAATCTCTCTTTTATCACTCTATTCATATTGCAATTCTCTCTCTCTCTCTCTTCTCTCTCTCTTTTGTATGTATGTGTATGTGTGTGTGTGTGAAGTGTAGAGTATAAGTAATTCCCTTTGATTGTCAATTCCATTCTTGGTGTTTGAAAGGGGGATTCACACACGCGCGCTCTTGTTCTTGTTGTTGTTGCTTTCACACTTTTACTGCGCATTCTATCACACTCTTTACACACTCTATACTCACTACGCATGGGTATTTGAATAGGAAACAAACGATTAACGGGTTTATCTTATTATCCACATATACACACACACTTGAAAGAAGGGAAGGGGACACTCGCTACTCTCAACATACACACACACACACACACACACACACACACACACACGACTGCGGACACGTCATGACGGGGAATCAACGGGAGAGGTGTCTCTCACCGTCACAACCTTCCACTCCCACTACTACTAGTACTAGTACTACTACTACAATGTCACTATCCGTTACTTTGTCTGCTCCTTCTCTCTCCTCTCCACCACCACAACGACGACTACAAGATTCCCACGACAACTCGCCTCAAGACTCGTCGTCTTCGTCTTCTGCGCTGGCCTTTCCCACAACCGCACAAGCATTTGCTCAGGCTCAACTCGCTCACCTCCAGGCTCAACTCCAGGCTCAGATACACCACCAGATTCAGCAACACATTGCCCAAGGCATGCCGCCCATGCCTCCTCACTTGGTTCAGTACCACATTCAGCAACAACTCCAGCAGCAGCTCGCTCACTTTCAACAAGGACAACAAGGGCAAGGACAAGAGCAGCAACAGCAACAACACGCCAGGCCCACTCCCACACCGTTCATGGAACCTTGGACTCCGCTACCCGGTCCCACAAGCACCTTTCACCAGTATCGCCCTCCCGTCGACCCGAGTGCATCCATGACTGTAACGACAACAACAACAACAACAACAACAACAAAAAGTCCATCGTCAATCACCTCAAACGACTCTCACGCGGCCGCTCCTCTGCCCTTTGCCAGCGTCCAGTCCTTTCGCAACTTTTTCACTCCCTACGCCTCTACGGTCCTCCCCATGCACGGTCGCCCCCCAACCACGCTTCATCGCCCAGTCGTCCAGCTCACGTATACCCAAATGCCCCTCACAAAAGCCAAACGACGCCGTCCGACCCCCGGCCAAGTCAAAGTCTTGAATATGGTCTTTGACAAGACATTCTTTCCCAGCACAGAACTCCGACAAGCCCTTGCCCACGAACTCGAAATGTGTCCGCGTGCCATCCAAGTTTGGTTCCAAAACAAGCGGCAGGGCTGGCGGACCAAGCATGGACATGCCGCCATGAAGCGTGAACCCGTCCCCCTTGAGCAAGTCCAAACGTGGTGTAAAAAGTATTATACAAAACGAAAAAATCAAGACGACGAGGTCACACCCGATGATGAATTCACGTCTCGCCCTGTGGATACCTATCGATCTGGACCGTCGTCTACTACAATACCCTCTCGGTCGCCGTTGCCTGCGCCGCGTACACCTCCAACGCCTTTGGATGCACAGGGCGCTGCGGCTGCTGCCTTGGCCTTTGCGACAGGTCAGAGGGCTCAATCCACAATTGTCTGACATCCACAACTGTCCAACACTGTACAGTTTGAGATGGTGGTAATGACGATAAAGCGTTGTGCCGAAGAATGTATAGCGAGGAAAAAGTGCGTAGCTGAGAATGGTTAAAGCAAATTGGGATGTAGTTGCAAAATCCATGCAAAGCATGGTGAAATATATATATTTTTTTATTATATTGAGGGACCGGGGGTTTCTTTTTGACTGTAGTTGACTTATGAGCATTCACGATCTGCACGCAAAACACATTCCTTGGACACTTGTCTTTTGCATACAAAGACATTGTTGACCAATTTATGCATGAGCACTGACACATGCACAGCTCTTTTACTGTTTAGGAGGGATCACCACTGTAGCCATATTTCTGTAGACCAAAAACGTCGTATTTCAAAGGCTGTGATATTGTCAGATGTAGATAGTTTGTGGAATTTCAATCGAGTAGGTTATAGTATCAGACATTTCATTTCTGTTACATATATTTTCGGTTGAGCGTTGGTTACATATGTATTTGCTTGTGGGTTATTGTGTTGCTTTGTCAGAGAGCGGGATGCGGATGGTAGGATGCAAGCGTCGTTAATGTAAGGTATTCCGTTTGTGCATGGATGGGTTTTGGGGTTAGGGTTCATACCTCTATTCTCTTCGACGCATAAAGAAAATACACATCTCATCATAAAAGCCATATCCTTGTCATGTACCTTGGTTTCTATCCTGCACAAACGGAATTTCATAACAAACTACAAGTTGCTATCCCACATTACAGGACGTGCGCGTGTAGAGTTGGTATTCTTTAATGCACTGTGTTGCATGGTATGTGTTCTGGATGGATTGGTAACAGTATGGAATGTGCACATGTGTGCGCTGAGATTGGATTCGCGAATAAACAAGGTTTTGTTTATTTGTTTATTTATTGTAACAGACTTGTTTTCGCTAGTTTCTTGAACACTTTCATCTTGCGGTGACCTTTACTGTCGTCTCCCCAACGCTGCTACGTAGAGACTTGTTTGAATACTATACCCACATCCATTCTACCCAAACGATAACGAGTTGACCACATTACCAATCGTTTGCAAAACTCATATTCGCCTTCATCTGACTCATCATCCTGCTGGACCCCACATCGCCACTCCAAACGAGCTCGTTTTTGTACCCAACATACCCACTCGAACGGGATTTTGCCAACCATGCATATCACATGCCTATGAGTTACTATTGAACATGTCATTATACTTTTATATATTGAAGTGAATGAGTTAAAGTATTTGTGATGAACATCATGGTTGTAAGAGTCCAAAGACAAAAACTCTTCGTCTTTTTGATTTTTCGATGTGACTTTACTGATCGGTTTCTGGATTCGACAAGATCGTCTTGTCACGCCTTCTACACTTGTAACGTTTTTGGGCGCTTTACAAGAGTAACTCACACACCCATTCTGCAGAGTCAAGGTTTTTGTGGTTTGCTTTACGACACAAACGTGGTGGATTACGCTAAAGTACCTAAAAAGCGCTATACCTTAACACACGCTAGTTTTTGATCGCGTTTGCGCAGCAGTTTGGTTCCTCGCTCCCGTCATGACGCGATAAAAGCTCCCTCCCTTTTCCTGCAGAGTCTTTTGTTCTGTTTACAAGTTACTTGAACGACTGGGAATCCGCCGTCTTTGTGTATCACTCGTAATGGTTTTTTTTTTTTTGCAGAGTTGTGTGTTGTATGGTTGTGATGTATAAGTCAGGTACGTACGACAAAGGTTGGACGCGGTTGAATTGTCCTGTCTATGCAAACAGGGAAGGTTACTGCACCAACAACGTTTTTGCAGAGTTGGTATGTGATTGCTCACTGTTGTTGACTGCTCGCTATTGCAGAGCATTTCGCGCGGTCGCGGTCGCGTTCGCGTCGACCAAAAGGGCGTGCTAGCCATCTGTGGGACGCGTTCTGTAAGGCTGGCTTCTCACCTCCAACCCTTATCCTACTCTTTAAGTCCAAAGTACAAAAAACTCTGCCAATCTTTTAGGGAAACTCCCCTTGCCATCCTTACACTTTCTGCACGTGTGTTGCTCATCAACAACAAGAAGGGATATGACACCTCCAAAAACACAAGTCCTGGGCAACACACAAACAACGCCCAACTGACTGTATTACAAAACGCAAAGTGAGTAAGATGACATGTTCAAGCCCTAGATCCAGAACCCTAGATCCAGAAAAACCAAAAAATGCATCACATCAACGCCGATCTTCAAGCCCAATCATCAAAACCCAACAAAACATTCAATCACACTACACCAAATTGTCCAGTAAGCTGTCAATACCTGTCCATTCCACTTGTCAATCTCTTGTCACTTGTCATCACTGACATGCCCCTCTGAGAAAAACCCCCCACTTTGCACGCACCTCGCCCCCACACGATATACCCTGTGGCCCAAACACACGACACAAAAAGTGTCATCCTTGCATGAAAAAAAAAAAAAAGAGAGAACGAGATGGGTGGGGTGGGGTTGGTGGGGTTGTTTTTTGTGGGGTATATAAATACGTAGTGTTTTGGTTTTCTTTTTACTCTCTGTAGGTACATTCAGTGTTCCAAAAGAAAAGTACATCCACTTTCTGCCTACACATTTGTTTTTGAGTTCCTATTTCTTTTGTTTTCGCTTCACCATGCATCGGTTCGCCATCTTGTTTGCCCTCTTGGCGTGCTTGTTCACATCTGTCAAAACGTCGCCCTTGAGTGGAGCGCTCTTTATTTCCAACCTTGATGAAGAGAGTGTTGAGTTGTTTACTAATACCCTCAAGGACCGGCAGGAGGGGTCTCTTAGTATGTTTGTCCATGTTTTTTATATTGTATTGTCTTGGTTGCTGATAGGTTTTGTCAATAGTTGATCGGCTTAGGGGAGACAAACGGTTCAGTCGCTTTGTCGACGCACTTTCTCGGGACCGCGGGCTTCGTGATGATTTGGAGAACAAGGACAAAAAGGCTACCGTGTTTGCTCCCACCAATGAGGCTTTCAAGCACATGGTAAGTTTTGTCCTTTTTCGCGACGCATCAAGATCTTTTGTAATAAAGGTTCGACACTGCTAGGAGGATGACAGGAGGCGCAACAATGATGAACGCGAGATGGGCGAGATTCTCCGCTACCACATCTGCCCTGACATGAACATTCGCAGTGACGAAATGCATCGAGGCATGCTGTTGCGCACTGACCTTCGTCTCAAGAAACTCAATGATCGGCACCAGAGGATCCGCGTTTTCCGCTTCCGTGGGGACGTTTGGCTGGTAAGACTTTTCATCTCATCTCATCACATCACACTATGACGCTTGAATTGAATGAAAAACCTTTACAGAACATGCGTGCCCGGATTGTCGAAAAAGACATGGAAGCAGAAAACGGACGCATCCACGCCATCGACCGTATTCTCATTCCTCCCCGTGACGCCCGCGAAATGCTCTACATGATGCCCTCGGAATTCTCCACCTTCCTCTCCGGCGCGGAACGGACCGACATGGGTAAACACATGGCAGATGAAAAGGGACTCACCATCTTTGCGCCTAGCAATGAAGCTTGGCAGCGTCTTGGATTCGAGAACCTCCGATACCTCTTTAGCTGTGTTGGACAGGACCGTCAGCATGGCATGGAACGTCACCATGAATGCAAGGGAGTTCAGGATCTCAAGCGTATCATTCAGTACCACATGGGCCGAGACCTGGCTTACACGACCGACATGATGGAAAAGCGCGAAATGCGTAAGTATCCAAACCAACTCCCTTCTCAACTTTTCCAACCACTGAACGCACGATCCCACATCATCTTAAAAGGCCTCAAAACCCTCTACGAAGACAAAACCGTCCTCGTCGAAGCCAAAGAACGGAACCACAAGGACCGCGACCGTGACAGCTATTCCGACTCGTGCTCTGGTAAAGACCGAGACCGTAAACACGATGTTCGTCGGTACATGTTCCTAATCAACAAAGGGGAGGCAAAAGTTCAGGTGAGGTTTGAAATGTGTGATTGTGGGTTGGTTAAGGAGCGGTTATTGATTCTTTTTCTTTGTTTTGGGTGCTTTCTTTTGTGTAGTTTGCTGATGGGCTTGCTGAGAATGGGGCTATCCACATGATTGACAGTGTTCTTGTTCCCGATGATGTCAAGCTGCCGCATGATCGGTTTGATTGAACTGTTGCAAAGCGTTTGCAAAGTAGAAAGCTTGCATATCGCCAGAGTGGATGTACATAAATCACTGGTGTACCAAAACTTGGATTTTGCACAAACCAAGTATTTTCAAAACCAATGCAAGATTCAACCCTTTGGCAAATGGTAGGGTCCTGTATGAATTGTACACCTCTACCCAGTAGCAAGTGCAGATTAGTGTACAGTACAGAGTATCACGTGAATCACATGATGCTCAAAGGATGTGAGGCGCGGAATTGAATGGATAGACTATCACGTGGATCACGTGATACTCTGTACTAACCTGCACTTCCTGTATGTACATACACTAGTGGGAAGGCGTGCGCACAACGCACTTGACAAAAAGACCAGAAAAATGCAGAAGATACATCGCATTGTTATCTATATCCTATGGAAGCACTTCTCTATGTTCTATATTTTGCGTTTTCCAAGCACATCTCACCCACTCAGGTAGTATACCAGATATAATTCAAGCTTTGTTCTTTGCATTTGTTGATTTCTTTGTTAAAAACCCAAGTTGGAAACTGCGGTTGCCAACGCTGACATGCATCACAGTCACGTGCGTAGTCAGGTGTCTTTCAGGTCACGCCGAGTTATTCTATTGTATGTATGTACATACACTAGTGGAAAGGCGTGCGCACAACGCACTTGACAGAAGGCCAGAAAAATACAGAAGATACTATTATTGTTATTTATATCCTATGGAAGCAGTTCTCTATATTCTATATTATGCATTTATCCCGTAAAGAGGCTTTGATTGCACCCATATCTTCCATAAATATTACACTATTTCAGTCTTCACGCATTCGAGTACATAAATGCATTGAACATCAAATTGCTTGTTGCAGCACATCTCTCACCCACTCAGCCAAGTATACCTATATAATTCAAGCCTATGTGTTTGTTGATTTCCAATGTTGTTAAAAGCTCAGGAATATGGCAACTCGGTTGCCGACTCTGACGGTCATGTGCGCGGTCATGTGCGCGGTCATGTGTTTTTCAGGTCACGCCGAGTTATTCTATATGTACAGCATTATAAGATAAGATATTCAGGGATAATGGTTCGATTTGGATTCAGTGCCGCCCATAAAACTGGCTCATCAGAGCACTAAATGGCGGCCACTTGGTAGTTGTATAAACGTTGAATCTCGGGGCTGCTCGACATCCACAGTACGCTACAATGGCAATCTATGTTAATTCTGTGCTGTGAGATTCACCTTTGAAAGACATCCACGTCAGTGCACGTCGGGAACCCTCTACATGACGACGCCCTCCCGCCAAATTGAACAGCAAGGTCCTTCAGGGCTCCCAGAGTTATATAAATATGGCTTTGCCGTGGCAAAGCGCGCAGTCCAAGAGGACAATGCGAAGCAGTGGACTACCGCATGGGGGCTCTATGAAGACGCAGCGCATGTATGTGCACCTTCGCTTTTGTGAGATAGGCAAGGGGTGACTCGGTGTTCTCGGTCGTAGACTGTTTTACAACTGCTCCAGCGTAAGTTTACCCTAACGTCACATGTCAAAATCTCTTGGAATTGACGAGTGTCTGTAATAGACGAAAGAGATCCGAAAAAGATAGCATTACTTCATCTGAAATGGGACGAATATTCGCAAAGGGCAGAAGAGCTGAGTCGTTTGGTTCGTGTTTCAAGAGTGGATGAGTTGCAAACGGACGGTACGCGCTGATGTTGTTGGCACATACGACTAGAGTCATCGCAATGTCATCTTGTAACCTGCAAGTATGGCTGTAGGCATTGAACAGGTCACTTGCGATACAGACAACCGCTTTGAGGCAGATGCTGCCCAGATTCCTTTAGAAATCGAAAAAGGTTGAGTAATGGCCACAATAGTTTGACTGTTCTACGATACTGGGAAATGGGAAGTAAAGCATCCTCCATTTAAGCCGGTAGCCAGGAGAAAGACGACATTACCAATAGAGAGCGATCAGATTTGTCAGGCTCTCAAAGTATGCTACACATTCGCTTCTCTTGATATAGCTGTCAATGGAAATTCATAGCGCAGGGTTCAGTTGCGTCTCCCCAAGGACATTTAGCGCCATCCGAGATTGAAGTTCTAAAGAGATCCTCCATCATCAATGGACGATTATATCTGCCATGGATTGCAATGGATGATAAAGAACGGTTTTCCTTTGATGTACCCTTCAAGTAAGCTCATTTCTCGTTACTCTATGACATACCCTCGTTGAAGCCTGTATCCGTAGAGACCCTCAAGGTCCACTAGTCCTCTCTATGATGCAAAGGGCTGCGTTTGCAGAATGGAAAAGGGTGAGCGAAATATTCTCAGAACATAGAATGGTCCGGTCCATGTGCGCTGGTGCTATTGTACAGGTATGTGCGCGCTATCAATTACTTGGGATGATCCTCCTAATATCCTAGTTGTTTTGTTGAAAGGATCTTGTTACGGACTGCTCATTCGTTGCATCACTCTGCGTCAGCTCGGAATACGAGCGCAAGTTTAAAAAGCAGGTTGCACTGCCTTCTTATTCGGTTTCATTGACTTAAATTATAATTACTCATGAGCGTGCTCGCTAGCTAATTACAAGCCGTATCTATCCGCGAAACAAATCTGGTCAGCCTGTGTACAATCCGAGCGGGAAATATATGGTGAAACTAACTTGGAATGGCGTTCCCAGGAAGGAACGTTAAGTCACCCTGTATTCCTTCTAATTGTACCGCTCTTAATGCTGGACTAATTCTATAGGTTGTTGTGGATGACTATTTGCCAGTCGGGAAAGATGGACGATTACTTTGCACCTTCTCTCTCAATCGGGAAATATGGCCTAGTATCGTTGAAAAAGCCTACCTCAAATTGCAAGGGGGCTACGGCTTCCCAGGATCCAACTCAGGAATAGACTTACATGCGCTTACAGGTTGGATTCCGGAACATATCTTCATCAAGGATGGGTCATTACCCTCAATGAGCATCTTTCGAAGGCTGCAAGACGGGTATCAAGCTGGCCATGCCCTGATAACCGTTGCTACTAGCTCGCTTCGCGAGAACAATATTGAGCAATTCGGTTTGATAGCTGGCCATGCTTATGCCGTTCTTGATGTGCGAATTGTGCAAGTTGGGGATACACCGTACAACTTATTGCAAATCAAGAACCCATGGCGGTCGATGCAAAGAGAAAGCAAAATATTTACCCAGGATCCTTATTTAAGGCAGAAAATTGCGCAAGCTCTGGCAGCAAGTGGTTTAGAAGTTGACGAGAAAACAGATGGTAACTAAAGTATGACGATGATCACTCTCTTGATTGCAAAATATATGGACGCGTTCGCTCGATAGGAATCTTTTGGATCGACTTTCAAAGCATATGCGACTGGTTTGATACTATCCATATAAACTGGAATCCGCATATGTGGGAGCATCGTTTTACGTTACACGCGTAAGTACAGCAGGCCGTTTCAACAAGCTGCGCTGTCATGTCTATCCAAAATAATTCACCTGCACTTGAAGGGCTTGGCCAGTTAGCGGCCCTCGGAAGGATATATTTAATTTCGGCAGTAATCCGCAGTTCTCTCTACAAGTTGATGTTTCAAACGAAAATTCAACCGCTGTGTGGATTTTGCTTACCAAGCACATCACTGTTACTGTAGGTACCATGATGGTATGCTGTTTACGCTTTGGTTATATGGTGACCTCAAATCAGGAGGAGAATAGCGATTATATTACACTCCATTTGTATGGTGACTCCGGCGGCGAGAGAGTGTTCTACTCCGGTGAGCCTATGCTGCGAGGAGTCTACGTAAACAGTCCGCATGTACTGGTACGATATGCCGTGATATTGAATGTCACCGTTAACTGACAGCTGACTGCCTCCGGGGTATCAGGTTCGATTCAAATCACCGAAAGGATCTGGTTAGTTTTATCTTTGATAGCATATGCCCAGAATGTACCCAATAATCATTTCTCTTGTATTGGGGATAGCAAAGTATACCATTGTGGTGGGCAGCATCCCGTACAGCGTGTCCAAACGTTTCCGTTGAATGCCGGTCTTCACTAGCTCTCTCAACACGAGAAGTCATCCCGAACGCTCCAATACACACTCACAGTATACGCGATGTCACCATTTCGTATTCAAGAGATTCAAGACACCTATCCATATTCTACTCAGGTATCTTGATCGATGTTTTCCCTCTTTAGAGTTGCTGTTATCTCACTATGTGCTCTCTTGCGTAGGTTGTTGGTCATTGGACATCCACAACGGCGGGGGGATCATTGAACCACCCGACTTTTCAACTAAATCCGCGGTATAAGTTGGTTGCTCTAAAAGAAACTCGAATTTTCATCACCTTAGAAGCACCGAAAGAATACCCTGTCAACGTGAAACTGATCAGGGACGACGTACCCCTTATCACGGTAACCAAAGAAACTATCGCCTTGAACAGCGGGGATTATCGGAACGGCTTCTGTTATGTGAAGGGAAACGACATCCAAGGTTCGCTATAGGCGCCAGGTTGTCGGTATTAAGCCTGAAAGTGAAACGATCGTTTTCATTCCAGCAGGAGTATACACTGTAGTGCCGTCTACTTTCCAACCTGGCCAGATTGGTACCTTCATACTCACGGTGCAGTCTACGGAACAATTGTCCTTTTCATAACGGTGAGGAAGGGGACCGACAATGAGTAGATCCGTGCTGTACATGTCCTCCATTCTTCCTGCAATGGACACCCAAAAATCGAGATGCACTCTTCTGAATATCAGTGCTGGATCTATAATATTGAGCCAATGTACAATTGAAGCACGCTCAATTGGATCGAAGAGACATAGCCTTGGAGACAGGAATTTGAGATTGAGGATGAGCAGACAAAAGAACTAAGTCATTGAATCTTCTCTTCCTTGAAATCAAACACCGTTCTTTCCAGGCCTCTGTCGTCAAGCATCCTAAGATGTTGTAATGAATTCATCTGTAACGCTAAGCGGCGACAATTGGGAAACTATAGCAATAAGAGGCTGGTATTTGGTATACCAATAAAATATGTATAAATCAAACCACTGTGGTAAAAACATCAATACCAGTTATCTTACGGAATACCCTAATATGCGGTTGGTTGATTATGTCAGTCACTGCATTTGCTGACCGTTTTCCTCCTCAGTGCTCCCAAATCAAGGTTCCTGAACTTTGTCGTATACCAAGGCTCCGGACCATTTCGCACACTTACCAAGTACGCTTCATATAACACATGTCCAACTGTAATACTGAGGAGAACGGGAATGTTGTATCCACGGAGGAGAGCTCTGAGGTGCCGGTCCAGCCAGCAGCAATCGGTCAGCAAGAACAGCCCAGTGCTAGGCGAGGACGTCCTCCTCCCCTTCCTATGTGGATCTCTTTCAGTGGTATTATCAGCATCGCGCTAATCCTTACCCAAGTGAGGCCAAGAAAGAAGAGTTATGCAACGAGACCGGATTAAACGCAAAACAGCTTAATGATTGGTTCATTAATGGAATGGATGATGCCCTTCCCCTTGGCTTGCATTATTTCGATTATGGATTTAACCTCCATAACTTCATAGCGCGACGACGGTACCACATCCCGCGCGCAGGGGCCTCACCGTACCACCTGGGTGGCCGGGTCACCCTAATCGAGAACTCAAGCACCAATGATCCTAGTAGAGATACATAAACGGTTCATGATACAATCTGACCGTGGATGCATGTATACCATTCTCAGTGCAATGCTCATTATGTATTCGTTATTTCAATTGATTACTTTGTCGTTTGAGTAGTTGATACAAACATGTAATGCCTGGTTTTTTGACATCTTGATGACCACGTAGCAGGCTGGGATGTATACAGGGCCAAGCCAACTCGTAAGACAGGGACAGCTCCCCATATGCTACCGGTATGACTCGTTTCCCAATACCTATAAAATGTATTTATGAACCATACTGCCGACATTCAAAGAAAACCTATCCCTCTTCCAACATGCAAAGGCCCTAGTGGGAGCCAAACTGGGACTCTGTTACACCTTTACCCATTGCAGCCGTTGCGGTAACACCCCCAGAAACCGTTTTAACTAGAATACCACACTGTTAGCATCCAACACAAATTACCAGTACATAGAACAGCACTCACTCAAATTATCGTAATATTCAGCACCAGACCACTTTTGATGTGAAAGAGTTTCCACCGAATTGAGGCGCTCCTGACGCTGGATACCTTCGACATACGCAAGCATACCACGCTTTGAATAGTCGCGAGCGAAGAGGTCAGTAATCAAAGCATCAGAGTGGAACTGGAGAAAACAAAGTCAGCATATGTATGGGGGGCACTACGGAAATATTATGGGAGCATCTTACCCCAGCCAAGGTGATGAATTGCCACGCGAAGCCCAACTTGGCAATATCACCAATAAAGCTCGAGATTTGAGCGTCAGACATTCCGGCTGCATCCCAGTTGAACGAGGGGGAGAGATTGTAGGCAAGCATCTGCTCCGGATGCACCTTGCGAACCCCATTAGCGAACTCTTCAGCTTGAGAATAGATAGGTTTCTTGGTCTCCATCCAAATCAGATCGGCGTACGGTGCGTAAGCGATACCCCTGTTGATACACGCAGGTGTGCCACCTTGGTATCTGAAGTATCCTTCGCGCACACGAGGAGCATTCCAGCACCAGAACGGATCAACGCCGTAGGATTTCGCCAAAGCACGCGCCTCAGCATTCGAAAGCTTTCCAACCTTACTCAGGAAATCAGAAATGCGCCCATCCTTGCCAGCAGCCTTTAGTGCATCCACCACGGCTTCAGAGTAAAGCTTGACGTTGGCGTCGGCCATCCACTGATCTTCAACGGCCTGAAGCGCCTCTCCAGTTTTGCCACTACTTTCGGCGGCATTCATTACGTCCACGAGTGGCGAAAGATTGGGGTTTGTGCTCCCAAGAATAAAAGCGTGATCACGACGATCAATGTTGGATGTGATGAGAGTTGCAGCTTCAGCGTCGGTACGTGCAACAACAATATTTTCTACTCCCATGATATCAAACTGTAGTCGGACAGCCACCAGACGGTTAATGTGCTCAGAGATGGGAACTAAGACTTTGCCCGCCATGTGACCGCATTTCTTTGTCCCAGCAGCTTGGTCCTCCAGATGAATACCGGCAGCACCTCGCTCCACAAACATCTTAGCCAACTTCATGTTCGCAGTGATACCACCGTGTCCCGTGTCTGCATCTGCAATGATAGGTCGCAAGAAGTCAATGTGCTTCGACTTGGAACGTTCCGAAAGGGGGAGGGAGAGGCGGTCCTCCCGTTGTTTGCGGTCATGGAACAGCTGAGCAAAAAACAAATGCTCAACCTTGTTCGGTACGGTATCCTAAAGACGAGAGGGAGACATCAGATTTAAAGTCTTAACAACACATTGTAAGGTGGAATGAATGTGTTCGTACCATTGGGTAGTCTGCCAAATCAGGTCCTGGCTCATTAGAGGTAGAGGCCGTGGAGGAGCATTGCCACCCAGAGACGTAAATCGTGTCAAGGTATTTTGCCATCTGTGCAACTTGCACAGGATCCAAAGCACCATAGGTAAAAGACGCAGTCTTGTTGGCTTTGTGTTCTTGAAGGAGCTTCCACAGTTTTTTTGCCTGAATATCAGAAGCAAACTGTTGCTTTAGAGTTCCCCTCTTCTTCGCCACTGTGAACGAGTCATAGTTGGTCTCACGGCCGATGCAGGCACCTCAGAAAAACAATGGTAACCACACTTACCATCTTCAGCAGTGTAAGGACGACGGATCAGCCGGAAGCGGTCTGATTGCCACCAAGATTTGATGTCCTTCACTTCCTGTTCAAAGAGGCGCTGTTCCTCGGCGAGAAAGGCGGAGGACGACATGATGCTTCGTGTGGAAATTGCAAAGAGGATGGGTGGATGCTGTGTTTACTTTTGAAGGGAAAGTGTTGACTGCGTTGCTTTTAAATCAAATCTTAAATCGATCTTGTTCACGTGTTCAGATGGCGGACTCGGCCGGAACCGGCCGGAAACGGGCGGAACCGGAGTTTTCAGATTGGATCCGGAACTGCGCCACTCGCGCCTCCCCATTTTTCTATGCACCTCTATCGCCAGCTCCAATTCACTTGCGATTCACAAGTGCATCTCATCCCAATCATGTTGAAGACCGCCTCGCAATTGACATTTGTTCGCGCATCAGCTGTAAGTGTATATGCCAAAGGTGGCTAGGAGGAAACGCCGTCAATATCGTATCCTCCGCGTGAGTCCTCGACACTGTTCTTACTTGATATTCTCGCTATCCAGGCAAGGACTTTCAGTTCTTGCACATTCAGTCGCGCTGCGAAACCCGGTAAGTTTCATTTGTAGAATTCTCCTTTCGAAGGCCATTCATGTGGGTCGCTTCTCATGACCAGGTACCTCCGAGGTTTCATCCATCTTGGAGGATCGCATTTTGGGAGCCAGCTCTCAGATTGACGTTCAGGAAACTGGACGCGTTCTATCCATTGGAGATGGTATTGCACGTGTTTACGGCTTGAAGAATGTGCAGGCTGAAGAGATGGTGGAATTCTCTTCTGGATTAAAGGTATATTCCATAGGTTCCTTGGCCAACAGCATGTGCTGAGTCGTCATATATTCCACAGGGACAAGCACTCAACTTGGAACCGGACAACGTTGGTGTCGTCGTTTTTGGAAACGATCGTCTCATCAAGGAAGGTGATATTGTGAAGCGTACGGGTGCTATCGTTGACGTTCCCGTGGGCCTTGGGCTACTTGGGCGTGTTGTTGATGCCCTTGGAAATCCCATCGACGGAAAGGTACGGTAGATGGATCGGCCGGAAGAACTTTCAATTAACACTGTTCTGGCCCCAGGGACCTCTGACGGATGTGAAGCGCCAACGTGTCCAGGTCAAAGCTCCCGGTATTATTCCCCGTCAATCTGTGAAAGAACCCATGCAGACGGGCATCAAATGTATCGACTCCATGGTACCAATTGGGCGTGGTCAGCGAGAGCTCATCATTGGAGATCGTCAGACCGGCAAAACCGCCGTTGCCTTGGACACAATCCTCAACCAGAAACGCTGGAATAGCGGTAGTGATGAAACAAAGAAGCTGTATTGCGTCTACGTGGCGGTGGGCCAGAAACGCTCTACTGTTGCTCAGTTTGTACAAACGCTTGAGGAGAACGGTAAGCTGTAATATACGTTTGCGCATATCGCGATTGGGCACAGCATTGATCCGCCCGCAGATGCGTTGAAGTACTCGATTGTTGTGGCTGCGACAGCATCTGATGCGGCGCCATTACAATTTTTGGCCCCTTACTCCGGTGCCGCGATGGGAGAATATTTCCGGGATAACGGCAAGCATTCGCTTATCATATATGATGACCTTTCGAAGCAAGCTGTGGCCTATCGCCAGATGTCTCTCTTACTCCGCCGTCCTCCGGGTCGTGAGGCTTACCCGTACGTAATGCGATGGACGGAAGTCTTTCGACATCTTACTAATTCGATTATCACTCAGCGGTGATGTTTTCTATTTGCACTCTCGTCTTTTGGAACGTGCGGCGAAAATGAACAAGACGTTTGGCGGTGGTTCGATGACAGCCCTTCCGGTCATTGAAACTCAAGGTGGTGATGTGTCAGCATATATCCCCACCAATGTCATTTCAATCACCGATGGTCAGATCTTCTTGGAAGCGGAACTTTTTTTCAAAGGTTAGTACTAGTTATTCCTTAATGACGTCAGCAGGTCGCTGAGTCCTTCGCATAGGTGTTCGTCCTGCCATTAACGTCGGTTTGTCCGTCTCCCGCGTCGGGTCCGCTGCCCAAGTGAAGGCTATGAAACAAGTTGCGGGTTCTTTGAAGCTTTTCCTCGCACAATACCGTGAAGTGGCTGCCTTTGCCCAGTTCGGATCCGACCTTGACGCGTCAACTCAGTTCTTACTCAACCGTGGTGCTCGGCTTACGGAGCTTTTGAAGCAAAAACAGTATAGCCCTCTTTCCGTTGAGCACATGGTGGTCATCATTTACGCCGGTTCGTATCTCTGTTCTTCCTTTTGTAGTCGATGCATGTCTTTTAACAATTACTGCAGGTGTAAATGGGTTCCTGGACAAGATCCCCGTAAACAAAGTCACGCAGTTCGAAGCTGCAGTTATCCCGTACGTGCAAGCCAATGCCCCTGAAATCTTCGAGGCTATTAAGAAGGAGAACGCTATTAGTCCTGAGACGGACAAAAAGATCAAAGAAGTGTTGGGATCTTTCGCCAAGGATTTCGCGTGATATGCTTCCTCTGTGGGCATCCCTTTATAGATGTCCATGATACATATTTACCCGGAACATATCATTTTGTTGAGAAGGTTTGGATCTCGGCAGAATATACCTGCATATGCGTTCGAGATCGGCTGCACCAAAGCGACCTCTTTCCTGTAGACTTTCAATTATATGCATTTTCTACCAGAAAAGTGTGCAGTTTCCAGCGCACAAGTCAAAACTACAGAGTCATTGTAATACTGCAGTGAATGCCCTGCAAAGAGTACCACTTGGAACAATTATTGCAACTGCAGGCTAAGCTACTATGAAGTGGCATCCATTGTGCCTTGTCTGGGAATGCGGTACCGTCGTCGCGCTATGAAGTTCATGGAGATTAGTTTTATGATCGATACAGTGCAAGCTAAGAGGAAGGGCAGCATCCATACCATTAATGAACCAATCATTAAGCTGTTTTGCGTTTAATTCGGTCTCGTTGCATAACTCTTCTTTCTCGGCCTCACTTGGGTAAGGGTTAGCGCGATGCTGATAATACCACTGAAATAGTATTTGGGTTTTCCACGGAGGATGGTTGGGACGTTTCGGTCGACCGCTCTCGCTGACCGACCGCTGTTGACCAGACGATCCTTCCATTTGGCGTCCACGTGCTTCTGGTTCTTCCTGAGTTCCAAGTCCTTTGACGGGTAATCCCTCTGTATCATGAAATTCTGTGAGGGAGCTGCTTTCCACCGACTTGGAACGGCGCGAAAGAGGTGACGTGCGCTTTCGCTTCAGGTCAGAATTAACGAAAAAGGTGTCCATTTCGTCGCACAAACGATCGAGCGTGCGCTCGAAATCATTATCATTTTGGGCTATCGAACGATACAACGCAATTTGTTGTCTAGATGCCACTGCAATTACAGACAAGATAAAGTGATCCAGGCTGTCGCGCGAGCGCCGCGAGCGGTCGATATGCCTCTTATTTGCTTTCAGGAGGTTAGTGACCAGGTCAAGACGTTCGGGAATGTCATCCGGCGTTAAGGAATTTATAGCAGTATCTCGCAATGTCAAAAGGCGGTCCGCTACAGGAAAGAGTGGATGCTCCTCTGCTTCGACGATCTCCATGAAGGGCAATTTTTGGCAGAAAGTGAAGTTTGACAGGGACCGTAGGAAGTCCCAGCTACGTTTGGCGTGTGTGGTACCAGCACGTGCCCCGTGTGCCACATGTCCCTGTCGTGATTACATGATACGCATCTTCCTGCGCGCTCAGAGGATGTCCTAGATCAACCACTCCATTTTTTGAGGTACTGGAGACCGAGTCCTATCTCGCCACAGAGTGAACCCACAGTGCGGCGCATGCGTGCCTGCTGACCATCAGAAAGTCGTTCACAGTTACGGGCATGAGTGAAACTCCGCTACAGTTTGCGTCCCCTCCGGCGTTAGCTTCGTTCGCTTCGGTTCCTGAACGTGCATCTTTTCCTGGATCGTACGTTTTGGTTCCGCAAGAATATCTTCCACTGATGGTAGAGCATTTTCCTTCCCCCTTCTTTAGCTGCGTAAAGGATGTCTACGCAGCTGGACCAGTTGTGCCTCAGACAATTTTGACGGAAACTCCTCTCAAGTCGTCAAAGAGTCAGATGGAAGCCTTTGCCTCTATAGTAGCGCCAGTTGATATTAGCCTTAACAGTATGACGAACCAAATTGATTCAGGTGGAGGTGGACCTGGTGACAATGCAAGCAACCATCCAAAACCGCAGCTTTCATTAGAGCTCGGGAACAGCTCAGGTGTCAACAGAACCAAGAGTAAACCTAGGGCCGGACCATCACACAAACCAGAGGCACTGAACAAGAGGTGGCGCACCCCCCGGCCACTGAACCCCTTCATCATATATCGGCGTGAAAAGCATACGTACATTCTGGCTAGAAATCACGGAATACCAAATAACGAAATTTCCAAATTGGTAGGCCAGATGTGGGCCAACGAGCCGGAGTCGGTCAAATCCGTGTATCGTCAGCGCAGTGAAGAAGAGAAGCGAATACATCAATTGAAGCACCCTGGCTACAGATTTGCTCCAAGAAAACACAAACCGAAGCGGCCAAAGAAGTCAATTTCATGCCAAGAGTTTAAAGACCGACCCGCTGGACATCAAAATTTAAGAGCAAGTCGTGCTCACTCAAATGAAGATAGCGTGGAAGAGAACACGAGCTCATTGTCGGCAGACTTCATCCATCCGATACTGCCATCCCATCAATGTGTTTATGCTTACCACCCCTCTCAGCTGCAAGCTACAGTCCCTTTCGAGACGTAGAATGATGGAGGTAACGTCCTCATCGGCCCACTGGTGAGTATGCATATACACGGGCTTCATGCGCTCTTGCTGGCTGAAATAACGCCGAGACAGTGGCACTCATATCGTCTATTCAGAGAGGGGCACAAGCGGTCACCCTTCTTGAGCAGCGAAGCACAGCAAATATTTTCTGAGAGATTGCCCACAGAAAGATACTGCTAGGTTTCTGTAGTTTTCTGCCCGATTTACTGGGAGCCATGGTGAAGCCAAATGTACATTGTTTGTGAGCACGGGAGGAATGGTGGAAGCAGGAGAAGATACACTGATCCGTGCAAGCGATTTGTAAACCTTATCGTAAATGCCAAGGTGCAAACCATGTCATGTTTAGTTTATGAAAAAACTCATTGCAAATATTGTTTACACAGCAATTGCTCGCATTGCCATCCTGCCCAGGTTATTTTGAGACTCTTAAACATCTGCCGCCCATAGAGGGTTGGTTTCTTCCCATCCTTGATCTTCGGTTATACTGCCTGTCAGACAAGGGCCACTGACCATGGTTGGATCAACCGTATTGGCGCAGCCAGCATTCTGCAATACCGATAGCCCTACGGCGGATTGGGGAGGTGGAGTGAGGTGGGTCTTCCAGGTTTCCCTTTCATTGGACCACGTAATTTGTCCTTGAGGTCGGAAAGATGCACCGCGAGCACTGACATACGGCGTTCCTACTTGCACGATATGGTGGGGTCCAAGGTAAAGACCGGCTGAAGCCATCGGAAGAGTGGCATCACCCGGAGGGGTGAGAGTTCCGAGCGGAGGGGGTTGAGGCAAATGTGTTGAAGCATCGTAGACAGGGGGAGAAGGGTACACAGCGTACGGATTTGAGAGGAAAGGAACGGGGTTCGCGTACATAAGGGTGTCCGGCGGAATGAACCTAGAGGCTTGGTCTGCTGTCAACGAGTATTAATGAAAATTCGGACGAGCCAGAGCCGGGTATCCACCAGTAAATGCAACAGTAATTTACCTCCAGCTAGATGCCCGGGACTGTTCTCCGTCTTATTGCATAAAAGAATGCATTAGCTTGAAATTGCAACGACTCAAAATTTTCTCCATTAGCATACCACGAAGCCGATTCTTCCCCTGTTCCCGCCAAGTTGTAGGGCGGCCGGGAACGCATGTCGTCGGGGCGACAGAAAGGTAGCGCTTCGCGTCACTCCCGTAGATGGCGGAGTCCGAGCAAATGTAGCTGTGCTTGCGAAGCCAACAGGCCCTGCAAAACCGCCAGGACCACGCAAGGAGGATGATAAAGCGGCATAGGGTATCACACTTGGACTGTAAGGCACAGCTGGTGGTCTTTGGACACGGAACTCGCCTGTTTCACGAAACTGGACACGTATAGTCCTATCGAGCCACAACTTTCCGTTCTAGGTTTTTCCTTCAGTCAGTATCCATGGGGGTCAGAATTCGCGGTTGCAGTTACCTACTTCTTCTTGAATCGCATGTTCAGGCGTAGCTTCGTCCAAAAACTTGATAAATGCAAAAGCTGGACGAGAATCTGCCGATAGTGGTCAGCATTTGAACTAAGTTTGCCGTTTGATTGACAACCTACTTGGTCCCGTCGGATATCGGTTAATAAGCTGCAGTGATTGAATTGGCCCGTATTGGCCAAATTTTTCTTCCAACAATTCGCGAGTAATCACCGCTTGGTTGAGCTGGCCTACGAATATGCTCAATCTGTCAATGTCGACATTGCCCCGATCAAGATTGGCCGCCCTGTGTAGATGATGATGCAGAGAATGTTGTGGACGGATATCAGATCCGGAAGGTGAGCAGAGCTGGTCATGAGAAAACGAATAACCGCTAAACTGCGAGGGGGGCAAGACACAATAGTTGTCTGACCATTCGGCCACCCATTTCAGGTTCGTGCGAAGCCCCTGTTGTGCAACGGGTAAGGCAAAGAGACAGAACGAGAAAGTACAATGCCAATGCCAACCAAGTACGCTCTAATTGCATCTTCTCGAAAACAGAATTTGACGAAGCCGCACCCTTTACTACGACCAGTTTGATAGTTCTGAAGAATGGTCAAGTCTTCGACTGGTCCATACCGTTCCAGAATTTGACGTAATTGCTAGGGAAGAAGAACGCTTACAACCACCTGTCCTAAATGGAAACCTGAGTAGCCGTCTGTACTCACACTAGTCACCGCTTTCACATCGTTCGCATCTTGGACATACTCGGCAACGGATTTGTTGAACTTGGCAATGAAAAGAGTGCGATTTACACGGGCCTGTTCAACGCGTATGTGTCGCCCATCAATGACTGTATTATGTGCCTCCACGAGTGCATGCTTAGAGTCTTCCACGCTCTGCATCATTAGCGCTTTAGAATTGTGTCCCGGTAAAGCGAATGAGGTTGGACAATCACCTCGAATTGAACGAAAGCGTATGGCCTAGCCAGCCAGTCTTTAAGAACCTTAACATTCATTAGTTTTCCCCATCTTTCGAAGTGGTTGGTAACGCTTTCATGAAGTTGTTCATCCGTTCTCGATGACGAGAGACTAGGCATAGGACATCAACCTACTACGCAAGTGACCAAACCGTAAGGAATTACCTGGCCACAAAGAGACACGCCTGCGGAAGTCCTTTATTCGGATATCGCACTCTGAGCTCTGCAGTGCGAACATCTGCATCCAGTCTTGAAAGTGGTAAGATGCCTCCATCGTCTCCCGATGCTTCGGTGATACGATTGTTTGGAACATCCTGTTGTGCACTCGCAGCTAGACAGGGTGTGCATTGAGTAGAATCATATTGACATATTCATATTTCTTACACGTACCAGATAGATGTTGTTCGCACGGGGAAGAGCTGATTGGACACTCGTCCTTTACGTCATCCAAAACAGATGTGTGCTCTAAATCTACCGTTATGGGCGATTGGCGTTCCATCCTCCAACCCTCCTGGGGTGATGAATCGAAATGCGGATAAACGTTTTCCGCCTGCTCAGGAGTAGCAGTTCGTGTCGTGGTGGCGCTATGGGAGCGATTCATAGTGACAGATGGCATCTGCCGACGAGTTCGTATCGTGTCGTCCGGAGATTTATGGAAGGAATTATGGCGACGCACAGAACTGGGTAGTGTACGCAGATCGTTCACGATAGTTAGCATAGGACTACATGAACGAGTGCGGGGTGTAGGTGTCGCTGATTTGCTACGAGAAACAGCCGAGTGGTGCATGAATGAGTTTCCTGTCGAATTTTCCCCAGAGACTAGCTCAACAGTTGGCTTCTGAACGTCAAACGTTCCGTGTCTGTTGGTAGAAAACGTTAGTGTTGTCTCCCAGTCGACACAACTAATTATATTGGTGCACTTGCCTTAAAGTGGAGAAAGCAAATGACGCTAACTGGGCGCTAAGTTACTACGGGTTCTATGATACGTAAGTGGCGTGTACTTTGGACTGCAGACCGGACCTTCCTTGAAGGGAACTAGCACGCTGGATTGCACACGTATCAACAACCTCGGGACGCCGATGAATGTTTTTACCAATCTAACCTCTTAACCTCTTGCGAAAAGCGGATGTCGTAACAGGTATCCTTTTTTTAAGGTTTGCTATTCCCAGTGTGGTGTTCAAATTCTTCCAGAGGAACGGGTAGTAATGGCTTCCATACCTGTTTACCCACCACATGCAAGCATGTTTTTGGAATGCAAGAAAAAGTAGCAAAACGCACGTACAGGGGCCGTAGAAATCCCAGTGTCAAGGGGCGTCGACATTACGCAAGAAGTGCAGAGAGCTTGCACCATGGCTGCCCCAGGTGCCGCTTTAGTCGATTGCACCCCCGTTTGTCTCGATTCGATCACGATGCTAGATGACACACCTTACGAATGAGTACTTTCAAGCCTTTCGCATGCGAGCTGCTTATATCTGATACGTATCATGATCATCGAGCAGTGTGACTACAACTGTGCTCTTGTTTTCAGAGCAGAGTCTACAGACTAGTCTGTGTTATTTCTGTCGTAATCCGATCAATGCTTACATAAGTGCAGATCATGTGCAACTGGCTGTAAACATTCGAATCTCGTTTCCCGAAAATGGGGGGAGAAGAGGCGTCAAACGGACAAATTGGGGGGTTGGCGGAGGAGTAGCAGAGTTATCAACCAGTCCGCCTCGTTTCACTGCAACCGTTGACTAGATTGGATCGTTTCGTTTTGCGAATTCGCCGTCTTTTGAGTGCAAGCAGTATTGTTTGCGCACGCCCTTCGCATCACTACGCGCGACAAGCTCTTTGCAGATTACATCCCAAATCTGTCCCCCGTCGGGCCCGTTTGAGCCGGCCAGGAATCCGACCGCGGACAATCATCACGCCTTCTTGATAGATTATCGTGCAGGCAGGCGTTTACAGAAAACATGCAAGCTATTAAGTGTGTTGTAGTTGGTGATGGGTACGTATGTTGTTGAGCTGTGCCAACTGGCTGGGCTAGTTGGAAAAGTGAGGGTCCATATTAACGTAATTTTTTACTTTCCCCTCCTTTTTTAAATCGATATAGTGCTGTAGGGAAAACTTGCCGTATGTAGTATTTCAGTTTCTTAAATCATCTCCTGTGAACCACCGCAATAACCAGTTGAATCTCACGCTGGCAGTCCTTATCAGTTACACCACGAATGCTTTTCCCGGGGAGTATATCCCAACTGTGTAAGTACCGCACTTGTGCGTCTTTTCAGTACTCGTATTGAAGCGCAATGACCACGTTTTCTTTTTTGAAAAAAGATTTGACAACTACTCAGCAAATGTAATGGTGGATGGAAAGCCCATTAATCTCGGTCTATGGGACACTGCTGGACAAGAGGACTACGACCGACTGCGCCCACTATCATACCCGCAAACCGACGTTTTTCTCATTTGCTTTTCGTTAGTCAGTCCCCCGTCATTCGAGAATGTCAGGACAAAGGTGGCATTTTTTTTTTTGGACGTGTAGTGGCCGCAAGACTTCTGACATCAATTGTTAACAAATAGTGGTATCCTGAGATAAGCCATCACGCTCCAAACACCCCTATCATTCTCGTGGGTACCAAACTAGACCTTCGTGAGGACAAAGAAACAATTGAAAAGTTGAGAGAGAAGAGGATGGCTCCGATCACTTACCCGCAAGGACTTCAGATGGCGAAGGAGATTGGCGCTGTCAAATATCTCGAGTGTTCCGCATTGACCCAGAAGGGCTTGAAAAACGTGTTCGATGAGGCAATCCGTGCCGTATTGTGTCCCGTAGTACCGTCAAAGCGAACCAAGAAGTGCTTGATTCTGTAGGCTGGGGGAAAGGTTTTCGTATAGAAGGTGAATGTAACATCCCGGACGGGTTTATGACTCTACAATGCCATTGGCTCGCGGCTTTTCCTTTCCCGTTTTCTTTTGAGTCCTCATTGAGAGGGGAAGCTCGGAATGGATAGGCTGGATTAAATACAAACTTTCATTGTATCCTGCATGTAGAGTTGCACTTAACAATGGCCGGACATGGAAAAACTTTTGCATCGCACAGTTTGTTACACGAGAAGGAATTAGACTAATGATGCCAAGAGTAGTTTCGGCACATTGGATTTGGGTGAGCAAAGTTGGCTAGTATATTCTCGATGGTAATCAAGCTCCCAACATTCTCCAATATTCTAATCAAACAATCCGAAGCCCATGTCGTCGTCAGATTCCTCCTTTTCTTCCTCTTTCGCAGCAGCCGGTGCAGCTTCCGTGGCGGCAGCAGCAGGCGCAGCCGCAACTGCAAATTTGGAAGGATCAGCAAGGATCTCCTTCACCTGAGAGAGGTCAATGTGCGTTAATTGGGGGCTCAGAAAATCAAATGAATAAGACACATACCTTCTCAACAGCGTCGAAAGAGTACTCAGTGGTAAGACCAATGCTGATCAAGTTCTTGTAACCATTGATCAAAAGGTGGGGAACTGATGCAATGGTAGGGTACCCAATGGCCATGGATACGGCGGCAATGGTTGTGATGCCCTGAACGAGGCTAGCCAAAAGATCCGATTCATCGATATCCAAGATTTCTGGGGAGAAAATGGTACCGTTATCGTACACTGCCTGAATCGTCATACCGTACGTGAAGGGAGAAATGTTCATCATGTTTAGCAAAGTGGCCTCAGAGGCACCAACTTTGCTGCCAGCATGGATCAGAGGTACATCGTTGACGATTTCAATGGTACCCTTAGCGATCTTGGTGGGAATGCCCAATGCCTGGAAGAAGGACGTCTTTCCAGGTTCCATCCCAGTGTTACCAGCGGGGATGGTGACATCGACAGGGGCAACAGCGCCAGCTTTGGCAGGAGCCTGTACCCGATTGGCAACAATCCTCTCACGGATCTCCTTCAGGTCACCCTTGGTGAAGACAAAACCAACGTTGCCTTTGATGACAGTTAGAAGCTTCTCGTAGTTCGGGTTATCCGCGATCAAATTGCGGAGAGCCCGTCGAACCATGGTGTTCTTGCCCATGAGAACCACGGCATCACCACGAAGGCTGTGACGAACTTGGTGCATCTGGTTACTGCTGACATTATCCACGTTGACGATGAAGATCGTCGGGTACTCCTCGAGAAGCTGGGAAAGCTTTTGGAAGTAAACTTCCTTCTTCGCGCGACCTTGTATTATCAATTTAAGTCAAAATGGTTGGGGAGAATAACCATGCAAAAGCACTTACCGTCTCCCTTTGACATCTTTGGCGTGTGCAAGGGGCTCCTATTAGATCGGAATTTCAAGACAGGTCACTGTTGACATAAAAATTAGTTGTCTCGTTTGGTGATGTCAAACACACTTGCAAGCGGTCAAGCCAGCACCCCGCTCGCTCTCGACACCACAAGCCAAAACCATAGCGCATTGAATAACCGAATGGATGGATGGATGGATGAACTGACAAGACAGATGCATGGATGCTCTCCAACGTACCTTTGAGTACCCAGTTGGATGAAAATCTTTGGCTGAGAACTGTCGCAGTGCCATATGTCCTTTGGCATCTGCTTAGTCTCTCACTCGAACCACGCTAGTGTGGATGCATTCGTGAAGCAGTGCAAGCATTGGCATTATGCCACTGCCTTATCATTGGCAACCTTAGGGGCAAGACTATTGAACAAAGGCATCATTTCACTGTTTTTTTTATATTGCAACACTTATATTCCCCAGCTTCCAAGTCTTTTGCATCCCACAATCTTCGTAAGTTTGCACAATCGCACTGATACTTAGATTCCTTTCTCTTCTCCACCCGTACTCGTACCTACCTCCCCGCTCTGGGCAACGGTGATGGCAACGCCCTGTTGCTCAGTAGTGCCAGTTGCACCCATCGCTATGTCTTGCCTCGACTTCGATTCAATACTTGCTACTGCTACTTCGCTCATGCCGCTTGCGCTTGCAACACCTGCGACTTCCGAATTAGTGTGGGAGTTCAACGCCGGCATGGATTTCTGGGCCGGGACATGTTGTTCGGTCAAGGCTGGAATGGACCCCTTCGCGCTCTTATTTAATGCTACAGTAGAACCAGTCTTCCCTTGGCCTCCAGCGCTACTGAGGGCAGCGGCGGATTTAGTGACGGAGGCGGTTTTGTCCAACGCGTTGGTAGATGCGGCTTTGCTCTTCGCTGAGTCGAGAGCATTGGTGGATGCCGAAGGTACGTGCTGTTGGTTTAGCGCAGCAACAGATCCGTGCTTGCTTTGGTCTTGGACGTTGTTCCCTGTTTGCATGTTCTCGCCTGCCACCTCTGTCTCTGGCTGACTAGTGGCCAACTCAAGTGCTTGTCTATCGGTTGCGCCATCTCCGGCAGCATCCGCTTTGATGTCTGGGGCACTTGCGGTGGCCTGTTTATCCAAAACAACCGCAGATCCTGCTTTTGGACCACCAGGTTTAGCGGGGTCTGACTCCGTGGGATGGGCGGGAATTGCTGTGGGTACGGCCACTGGTTGCGCCGGGTAGTTTTGTCGTTGGGTGGAGGTGCCGCAGCCCATTCTGATGATTTTTGTGACGGAAGGCGGAAGATTAAGCGATAGCCAGGAATGTGCTCTAAGAATGGCGGACTTTTGAAGATTTCTATTGATGAATGCGGAGGACCCCATTCACCAATGGCCAACCTCAAAGTTGATTGAATGCAGCACACACCCTTGAAATCCCTCAATTGCTTACGCCATATTGTGGGAATATATAAATAGCAACCTGTCGATTGGAGCCAAGTGCATCGTGCACGTGACATCATACAGTACAGCTAAAGCAGATTAGTGTGCGCCATCACGTGCGTCACATGATCTTCAAAGATGTGGACACGGAATTGAAATGGATAGACCATCACGTGAATCACGTGATGGCGCACACTATCTCTGCTGTAGCTGTACTGTACTGTAGTGTGGAGGTGATTGAAAATGGCATTATTATCCAGATTAATCCGGTTAATCATATCGCATAATCAGCACCCCCGTCTATCGCTCAAAGCGGTGAGGCATGCATGCTAATCGGTGTGGCATGCTAATATGTTTTTTTTTAAAAAAAAACTGAGGTGAGGCGCATACCAAAGGTCTATAAAAAGGGGGCCTTTTGCTGTCTCTTCCCTCTTTCCTCTTTACCCATCCTCGACTCGCAAACCATCTGCGCAACCCTCATCGCGACTCGGTCCAATCATGAGAATGCAGATGTGGTGGTGTCGAGGACCTCGTCCGCCCGACAGCAACAGCGATCAGAACCAGCAGCAACCAGTTGGATCCGATAACAAAACTGCTATTATGCTGCCATATTTGTTGAGCTTGGTTGGTATGTATCAAGGGCATTTCTTGCATTTCTTGTCATCGGGTCATCTTCTGACATGCAGTTCTAGTCTCCAAGCCTTCGTTACTGAAAATCCTCCGGCTTGTGAGTCTCCCTGACGATGTTAACTCTCTTGCGAAGACTCTGGCTTCAATGTCAATCAAGAGTTCCGGATCAAGGCCCAGTAGGAACGCGTGTGGTGGTGGGCAATTATCCGGTTTAGAACCGTTACGTATTGCGTGTATAATGGCCTAGTAGTGGTTAGTTAGCTTTTCCGAGCCAGTTTACGCTGGTTCACTCCCTGGTGTAGTAGCTAGTGCCAGTTTCTGTCACCTCTACACTATAACGATAAACATAAAATGGCCATCTGATGACTGGAACATATCTGCAGTTGCCACATATCATTCCATATGAATCTCATCTCCCTCATCTTTCCAACAAGAATGGGTTAAGGATCAATGCTATTACTGCTATACTGCTGCAATCACAGGTATGTAATGTCTTTGTGAACTTTTCCCCACTCTCACTATCCAGTTTACTATTATCCCAACTTTCGACAACTGAGCTATTGCCAATACGCCAAAAAGTTGAGAATATATCCGCTAGCATTTACAGAGCATCTGCTCCTAATGCACAATTCATATGGGCAGTAGAAATGTAATATAATATTATTTATTCTTGTATCTGATAATTAATAGTTCAGCTCGTACGTCACACAGGGAATCGCGTGGTATTTCAGGTTCTCACGGTCTTGGTTTTACTGTACCTTGCACTTTGGACTCGTATCGTTGAGTGATTCAACCCAATGCCACTTTCCGCGCAATCCGACACTATGGAAGCGTACATAGGACGAACAAGTCACCGTAAAGAAGGAAGATATTCGGGTCCTCCTCCGGGGACGGCTGCATCCAGCCGATCTACGACTACCAGAGGAAACGGAGAGAGTTACTACATTGCAGCTGTTAGCGAAAGTCGTGGCGTTGCAGCCGAGGTTGGCGTTGCAGCCATGGATCTGCGAACGAATGAGTGCCCAGTGTATCAAGTATACCACGACGTCCCATTGTTTAAGACCGCTTAGGCAGCATACTGATGCGCTCACGACAGTTCGCGGACTCCCAAATATATGTGAAGACAGTCCACAGGCTTTGCATTTTGGATCCAGCAGAGGTAGGAGTGTGATTGATCCACAAATACCATCTTGGAACTGAACACAGCAAGTGAAAATCTGAGAGCCTGTAAAATCTACGCTAGTTAGATGATTTGGAAACGTATCCCCGATGTCGGTATGGTGCCGGTATCTAGGAAATGCTTCAATGCAAGTGTTGGCATTCGCTTCTAGAATTCATATAAGTCGCATATGTCGTGACTCATGTCCTTTGACAGGATCGACACTGAGTTTCAACTTGGACTCAGAAGTACCGTGTGGGGGGAGCTCAAGTGTTGCGAGGGTGAGAATAGCATACGAGATGCGCTAACGTCCATGGTACAGTACCGGCACGACACGCGGAGAACGGTGAGAAAACTTTTGATGCGAGTCTGGACGAGAGCAGAGAAGAATGCTGACTCAGCAAAAAGTGTCTCTACATTCCAACCACCTGCATTCTAGAAAGTTGATACCGCAAGTTTAAAAACAACATCACCGGTGTATTAGGCCACCGCAAGCGCCCACCTTCGCCATGCAGGAACTCAAAGTGTCCGACGTCTTGCGCCGTGCTTCCACATACAGTTTAGAGCAGGCAGCCAAAGGACTTGCCTCGGCGACGCACGGGTTCGGAGCTGGCACCTTACAAGTGGATGGGTCATGGTTTAAGGACTCGACTGGTAGAACGATAATGCTCCGAGGCGTCAATGTTTCTGGAAATGCGAAGTTACCGTCTACTCCATATATGCCGTCACATGTTCGAGACGGTTTCTTCGATGATGCTACCGTCAGCTTTGTTGGAAGACCCTTTCCGCTAGCGGAGGCCGACGAACATTTTGCGCGCTTACACTCATGGGGGTTTAACTTCGTACGCCTTAACATAACGTGGGAAGCTTTGGAGCACGCAGGACCGTAAGTGGCATGTGATACTCTTTATCTATAGAAGGATCCAGTTCGGGTTAGGAAAACTAACCCTACAAATATCGCAGAGGAATGTACGACTTTGAGTTCATGACGTACATCACAGAGTTGCTGCAAAAGGCGAAGAGACACAAGTTTAGAGTCTTCATCGATCCCCACCAAGACGTGGTAAATGCAACTACTTTCAATTCAGCCAACTATTGGAAGCTACTAAGTTTAATGTCTCATTGCAAATGTACTCAGTGGTCGCGTTTTAGTGGCGGATCTGGCGCACCTGGGTGGACTCTACGAAAGGCTGGTTTAGATGTGACAAAGTTTGCCGCAACGAACGCCGCCATCGTACATAATACATACCCTGACCCCGATAACTACCCGAAAATGATCTGGCCGACTAATTACTACAAACTCGCTGCTGCCAGTATGTTCACGCTCTTTTTCGGTGGCAAGACCTTTGCTCCTTCTTGTATGGTAGATGGGGTGAACATTGAAGAATTCCTACAGAGTCACTACTGCAATGCATTCGCCACTCTGGCGAAAAAGATACAAGAGGTTCCAGGGTTGGAAGATGACGTGGTTATTGGTTACGACACGTTGAATGAACCCAGTCCTGGTCTCATCGGATGCCCCGACCTCTCGAAACTTGATCCGCGGCAAGAACTTAAGAAAGGATTGACACCGACCTTCTTCCAGGCAATGCTTCTAGGGGAAGGAATCAAATGTGATGTCGATGTATGGGAGTTTACCTCATTCGGGCCGCGTAAACAGCGTACAGACACGGTAGATCCGGCCGGTGCTTCTGCATGGCTTCCGCAATCCGGTGGTTGCATATGGGCTGGTAATGGTGTCTGGGATCGTACAACGGGCACATTACTGCGACCCGAATACTTTTCCAAACATCCGAAGACCAATCAACCCGTCGATTTTCTCTCTGACCATTGGATGCCATTCGTAAGACGGTTTACAAGTGCTATTCGTGGGGTCTATCCCGGTGCGATTATGTTTATCGAACCTCCGGTCAATGAGCATCCACCGGTGTGGAATGAAGCAGCAGGAGACCCGGTTGGCAGGTTGTGCTATGCTCCGCATTGGTACGACGGGCTCACTTTAATCAGCAAACATTTCAATACCTGGTATAATGTCGACTACATTGGGTTCCTTCGCGGAAAATACTCTCATCCGGCATTTGGACTGAAACTTGGGGATGCGGGTATCCGAGCTGGTTTCAAAAGTCAGCTCAAGACCTTACGTGATGAAGGGCTAGAATACATGGGTATACTTTATGATTCCTAAGATGTCGCACATGGCGTAGACTAACGATTTGGAGATAGGTGAATACCCATGTGTGTTCGGTGAGATAGGAATTCCATATGATATGGATAATCGTATCTCATATCTCACCGGAGACTACACGGCGCAAACACAGGCTCTTGACTGCAATATGCACGCGCTGGAGACCAATTTACTTAATTTCACCCTTTGGAACTATTGTCCAGACAATAGTCATCAATGGGGGGATGGTTGGAATGGGGAAGATTTGAGCATCTGGTCGCCAGCCTTCCCGAGAAGGAAGGGGTCCGCCATCGCGGGGAAAGCCAATGTCAAGATACCGCCTATGGATGTGAACAGAGTTGGTCCCTTGGAATCGCACATCGGAAAGACATCCTGCATGCATGAGGAAGAAGCTGGGAGCATTGAAGGGGGCGGGACTCCAGTTGGGCAAGGTGCTTTCGTGAAATCCAGCTCTTGAGAGATAAAAACTTACAAGATTGACATGTCGCTTTTTCCAGACTCAGCCTACCTTGATCAAGGTGGCCGCGCAATACCAGCCTTCGCCCGTCCCTACCCCGTCCTCACGCCAGGGACCCCGATGTCCCTTCATTTTGATCTACATAGTGGCGTTTTCACTTATACCTTTCGACATAGCCTGTCATCTGGCCTCTGGGCGACGCCGGGGTTGGATCCTTCTTCTAAAGCATTAGAAACTGAACTTTACGTCCCACGCGAGCACTATCACAACGCAGAGCAAGATGCAGAGGTGTGGGTTAGCGAAGGTCTTCTGCGATGGGACCAGACAGAACAGAGATTGTATTGGAGATGCGGCTGTGATCCAGGTTTTAAAGCACAGACAACACAGTCCGGTAATAATGAAGCGAAGAGGGAAGGGGGAAACTACGATCTTGGACCCGGCGTGGAGCATACTATTGTGATTAAGAAGCGAGTACCGGGGGCCAAGCCCCTATCCGTCTTAGCAAAGGAGGCTAGGGAGAAAAGATTGGAAGGGACAGATGAGAAAGACGCGCGAGTTGCACTATGTCCAACGCCAACAAATGAATGCGTCATATTATAGCCACTTGAGTAAGATCTAACGTACACCTGTCCATGCCAACCCTTATTTATATACATCACGGATATCTGAGACCTTCAAGCAAGGTGGGCTCTCAGAGAGCACGGTACCGTTATAGGCCCCTGAAATGGCTTCATGTTAGAAAGCATAGCTCAACAGAAGGGACGGTGTCGTGCTTATTGCATGTGCCGTATTTATATGTTCATCGAAATCTTCATCGATCCTCGTCGTCGAATAAAGGGTTGAATTCGCTAAAGGCGCCCAGAGGGTTGCCTCTTAAACCCAAAACTCTCTGTTTCCACCGTCCTTCCAGATACAAGCGCTCTAATTTGTAACAGTCTTCTGCGATCCTCTCGGCTTCGTCAAAGCTTCCCAAGATTTGCAAGATGAATGCGCGCAAAACCAGTGTCCGAACAACGCTCTTAACATCTCCTATTTTGCAGAATGCTGCAGGGTTACGGGGGATGGTCAAGGCCTGTGCGCAATGACGTGCCAGACCGAATGAGCATGGTCCTCACCTTCACGCGCTCTCTGCAATGCATGCAAAAGAAATTCAAGGTGTTCAATTTTTTCATTCTCCCAAGTCAATTGGGCCAGGGTCAACTCAACATAGGTGAGCTCGACCTCAGCACGCATCAAGGCATGATGCCTAGAAACACACGGTAGAATTGACTGTATCGTGTCCTTGGCTTGATGTATGTACCCTAATTGGTTCAATAGCTTTGACAGTAGGACCACCGATCGATCGCGCTGGAACGTCAGATGGCCGCGGTCTGATAGGCTAATACTGGTAAGCACATGTGTAAGGGATTCAACACTGTTGTTCGCGGCCTTATCGAGAGTTTAGAAAAAGTCCGCAGTAGGGGCATATTTGCCGCAAATTAGACACCAACTTACTAAGTAAATCTCAGCAAGTCCGAGCTGAGCATGAACAAATTGATAGTGAGCATTTGCGCCAAGATTCAGAGCAAACATCAATTGCTCATAGAGAAGGGCCAATGCCTTCATACGGTGAGCACGTAGGGGTTTAGTAGAAAGCGCTTCTGATTTTAAAATTGCAGCATAGAAGCTCACCTCCGCGGGTCGCTCAGATTCTTGAGCCAAAGCAATCCGTTGGAATGATGCAGCACACGCCATCTGGACGTCATCTTCCGCCAGAGAGTCCAAATGTGATACAGTGAGCTTGGCATCTTGAATTCGGCCTCTTCGAGTAATGTTCCAGTATTAGAATGATTGCTGGGCATATCTCGTAAGAAGTTACCGTACCTGAGCAAAGATCGCTGGAATACGATATCCAGAAGCGCACTATACCATCGGCTTTCAGCAGTAGGGGCAGCACATGATTCGCAAAAGGTCTTAGCCGCTTGCAGGGCAGTTAATGCCTCGTGAAAGTTGCCCTCAGCTGCATTCTGACAGTGACACGCATCAGCAAGAAATATGCAACATTTACCAACGATGAGTAACCAACGTCCGTTCTACTCACATAGAGGGCGAGCATACAAAATCCTAGGGGTTTATCGTCCCCAGCGCTGTATGAGATGTTTGTACTCTGCAACTGGGCATACAAAGTAGCCAGCAACCAGTTACCTGCTTGATACATCATAAACACGAAGCCCATCATCCAAATGGCAAGGGACAAGTTCTCACCGGCGCGGCTCCAAATTTCTCCTCGTAATAGATGAGTAGATTCAAAGAAATGTCCCACTGCCTTGTCAAGGGTCACATCTGTGGTATGCAGCAGCTCACCAAAAGCCATAACAGGATCCTGTGAATACAAACTTAGTAGGGATTTATATCTGTTGGGCTGAATGAAGACCTACTGCCTCAACTATGGATCGAATTCTGGTCAGTTGATTCACGCTTTGCCATAAAACTCTGTCAGAAGCTTCTCGCTCTTCCTTGTTATGTGGGACGATTTGTCGAGTGTGTTGCTGGTCGCTCCAACTCGTCTGTTTGGATGGTCCTTGCAAGCGATGCTGAAGGCTTTGCGGACCGTAAATGCAACTTTGAAAATCTATAAAACGCTGCTTTGAACTACATACGTTTGTAACAAGATCAAGCACGGTTGGTCCTGCATATCCTGCGCCAACGGGATGGCCTGATCAATAATCTGTGGCGGTATTTGTAAGTCTAGCACATTCAGTTGTCCCAACTCAACAAGCTTAACAAACCGCAAGTGCTCGCCGGTGAAGTTTGAATCGGGTATACACCAGGGCAGTGTTAAGCCGCGCATAGTGGTGAACCCACTTGCTAAATCTGAACAAAGCTCTACAATTGGTGAAAGGTCACCGGCAGCAACTCGTAACGTCACACATACTTTGCTCCGTAACTGCCTACTAGCTGTTCTTTGGCGGAGTACATGAAGTAGCGAGAGAGATTTTCCAGGGCCCCTTGCAGTTCCCCCGCTCTCATGCAATTAAGGTAACTAATCCTGGCAATTTAGAACACCATAACAAAGATGCTTTACATCTCAACTGCATACCTCATCCAGTCCGCTTTCGGCTCCCGTTGTAGATCACGACATATTAGGGATACTTTTTTCTGGAGCTCCTTCGGCGTATCGTTGCCTATCCAATCTAAAAAAGCGCATATTTTACATGTCATGCAGTGCGACAGCAAAGGATTACCGGTGAATGTCTGCTCGAACCTTCTAATACATCCACTTGCTTGTCCATGAACAAATGTACATCGTGGATTGCGAGAATATCTAATGCGCCGCCTGTGGACAAATTATTGAGGATGCTACCTTGGAGGCATCGACCGCTGGAGGAGCTTGGACTTCCCACCTTGTCCGAAATCCTTCATCTGCCGGAAGTCCGAGCCATTCCGATATCTGATCAATGCGTCATAAAACTTGCAGGCTTTATCAAAGTCATTCTTCAGAGCGTTCACGTCCAGTATAGTCTCCCGGATAAAGACACCAACCGGAGATGTCATGTTATACCGCGGGCTGATGTCCTCCTACATGGGTTGGTCAGGGAGGTGTCCATGTCGGTGCATAATGGCACATAGATGATTCACTTCTGTCAGGTCCTCCTCAAATGGCACGAATAGGTCGAACATTGTATCCACCGAGACGAGAGCAACATCAAGCTGAGCGAGCAACGAAGTGGGAAAGTCAGTGTACATCGTACAAACGCAGGAATTTTCATTGCAGTCCATACATACCCTTTCGATTACAGCTTCTGACCAAGCGCGATCACCGCTATAGGGATACTGGACTGCCAATTTTCGCATAAACACCCCGAAGGGCGGATCCTGCAAGTCGGCTCTTCCCTGCCGACTGATCAGAAAGTGGCCGACTCTGCCTCCAAGAACTCAAAACTTACCTCAATTTCCTCTAGCAAAAGCTGACTCAGGGACTGTTTCCAGTGACACGCATAGTCGTCCGGAAGGTCATTGTACAGCTGGAACACAATAAGCACGGCGACTTTATGTGGTGTCAGGAAGGGCATGAGGAACGGCCGGACACTTGGCGGGCAGGTCATGACCCCGATCTGTAATGTTTCTGCCGTGCCATTCAACACGGGCATGGGATGACCGAATGGTCTCCGTTGCATACAAAGATCGTCCACTTGGAAGCTACAAATGCAACGCGTTTGTCCAATTTTGCAGAAGATATGCAGCGTGTTGGGGTTGATCTCCAATTCCCAAGGTCTTTGGTTTCCATGATGCGTTTGTCCAAACTGAACTTGAGTACCAAATTGATTGTGATGGTTGAACTTATGTTAGCACAAATTACATCTGTATATCACCTGGAAATATTAATAAATTATGCACCATCTGGAAATATTACAAGCATTACATGGGTTGGGCTTAGGGTTACAATGTGTTATTTTTCTGAAGTGTTCAGAATTGAAAGTGACCTTAATTAAAGCTGTGAGTATGCTCTAAAACAAAGGAATACTAGTGGGAATGCATGCACACAATGCACTTTGTGAAAGGGACAAAGTCTCAGGACTTGTGTAACTGGATCCAGTCAGTTACATCTGCTCCAGTCTCATGACTAAGAGCTACACATGACTCATCTGATATGTGAGTCATATGTGTTGTGAGAATCACAGTCTCCCTCTTGTGAGGCACAGCCATTTAGAAATTATGTGAGTGAAGAAAGAGAAATAAAAGGTTGTCCATGGATGGATGAAACAGGGGTAATCATCCAGCAGGACACAACCAATATCCCAATCACCAAAGAGTATTACATTTAGGGTTAGGGTTAGGGTTAGGGTTACAAGGGTGTCCCCGGGTAATGGGTTTTCCTAAAATTCACATTTTAGTCACTGAATCCTTCATCTATGCCTACTAAATGCCCTCGCAAAAAGGGTTCACTAGGGTCTCTCTGTAACTGAAGAAAAATGCAAAGGGTTAGGGTGTAACAGGCTAGCAGGGACAAGAAGACAACAGAAAACTAGGGAAGACTTGGTTACTCTTGTTATTTTCCTTTGAGGGGCCTCAGAGAGGTCCTCTTTTTATAGACAAAGGGGCTGACAAATGCTATATCCTAACTACCCAATCAGATCTCACCCACATCATCCTAAACTATTTGTCAGCCTATTGCACCATTTGCAACCAATCAGAACTCATAC